ACATAAATACATTATCATCATCATACAACACGGCCGCCGTACATAAATACATTATCATCATACAACACAGCCGCCGTACATAAATACATTATCATCATCATACAACATAAATACATTATCATCCGCCGTACATCATCATACAATACATTACATCATCATCATACAACACACGGCCGCCGTACATAAATACATTATCATCATCATACAACACAGCCACAGCCGTACATAAATACATATCAACACACGATCGCCGTACATATCATCATCATACAACACGATCGCCGTACATAAATACATTATCATCATATAACACGATCATACATCATTACAATTTAATATATTGTCAGTTGTTGTTTTCTTGTGTTTTTGACAACACGGTACTATGTCACCGGAAGTCTCGCCAGGTGGTTACAATTTAATATATTGTCAGTTGTTGTTTTCTTGTGTTGTTTTACTATGTCACCAGCGTTCCTGTTAGATTTTGGCTTTTGTTGAAAGGCATCTTATTTAGCAAGATTTTATAATTAGTTATGCATTCAATGTTTCTTGTGTGTCCACAAAGCCAAGAGAAACATCTGGGACGGATTAGCTCCCGACGGCACGTAATAAACATTGAAGTCCGGGTCTTTAGAAGTCTTCATATTAATCAAGCCGTACGGATTATTTATGGAAGTTCTAGACTAAGTTATTGTGTCTTCCGATTAGGTACAGGTGTATCTATAATCCCCTGTCGCGTATATACAGCTTGAATTGTAATTATTGTTTCGTAAACAAGCCAGAATAATATAGGACGTTTTCTGTAAACAAAAAGTGTGAACGAAACTTTGTGGTTTATAAACAGTACTTTCTCCCCGGAACAGATATACACTATGTGACAGACTGTTATTTGTGTGTATTGTGGACAGTCAAGCTTGCACGTTTGACACCAAAAGTCTTTGTATAGACATCAACAGAGCCAACATCTGTGTCGGAGGATCTAGGGAAAATGAATAGCTGTTGACGGATCAATAACTGAAGCCATTAGCGTATGTGGTAATTATGAAATCGGATTCATCCAGACCTCCTTAAATGCTACATCCATATCAAAACATACAGATTACATGATATGTCGGTTCTTAACATATAAAACGATTGCGTGTTAAGTGAACTAGGTTATTGTCCTCTTTCTTTAAAGCAGTAGTAAATGAAAAAGAAGTGGGAAGAAAAGGTTCAAATTTATAACAAACCAAATTCTGATGAACAAGTCGTGACGCAAAAACATAGCCGAACATCACGTACTGAACAGATGATTCTATTGATACGACTGATGGAAGTCTCGCCAGGTGGTTCCAGGGAGACGACTGACGGAAGTCTCGCCAAATGGTTGTAGGGAGACGACTGACGGAAGTCTCGACAGGTGGTCCTAGGGAGACGACTGATAGGAGTCTCGCTAGGTGGTTCTAGGGAGACAAATGACGAAAGTCTCGCCAGTTGGTTCTAGGGAGACGACTGACGGAAGTCTCTCCAGGTGGTTCCAGGGAGACGACTGACGAAAGTCTCGCCAGGTGGTTCTAGGGAAACGACTGACGAACGTCTCGCCAAATGGTTGTAGGTAGACGATTGACGGAAGTCTCGCCAGGTGGTTGTAGGGAGACGACTGATGGAAGTCTCGCCAGGTGGTTGTAGGGAGACGACTGATGGAAGTCTCGCCAGGTGGTTCCAGGGAGACGACTGACGGAAGTCTCAACAGGTGGTTCTAGGGAAACGACTGACGGAAGTCTCGCCAGGTGGTTGTAGGGAAACGACTGACGGAAGTCTCGCTAGAGGTGGTTGTAGGGAAACGACGACGGAAATGAAATGGTTGTAGGAAGGAAAAGCCTCGTCTCGCCAGTTGGTTGTAGGGAAACGACTGACGGAAGTCTCGCCAGGTGGTTGTAGGGAGACGAAACGGAAGTGTGGTCGCCCGACTGACGGTGGTTGTAAACGACTGACGGAAGTCTCGCCAAATGGTTGTAGGGAGACGACTGACGGAAGTCTCGCCAGGTGGTTGTAGGGAGACGACTGATGGAAGTCTCGCCAGGTGGTTGTAGGGAGACGACTGAGACGACTGACGGAAGTCTCGCCAGGTGGTTGTAGGGAGACGACTGACGGAAGTCTCGCCAGTTGGTTCTAGGGAAACGAATGACGGAAGTCTCGCCAGTTGGTTCTAGGGAAACGACTGACGGAAGTCTCGCCAAATGGTTGTAGGGAGACGACTGACGGAAGTCTCGCCAGGTGGTTGTAGGGAGACGACTGACGGAAGTCTCGCCAAATCTCGCCAGGAGGTTGTAGGGAGACGACTGACGGAAGTCTCGTCAGGTGGTTGTAGGGAGACGACTGACGGAAGTCTCGCCAAATGGTTGTAGGTAGACGACTGACGGAAGTCTCGCCAGGTGGTTGTAGGGAGACGACTGATGGAAGTCTCGCCAGGTGGTTCCAGGGAGACGACTGACGGAAGTCTCAACAGGTGGTTCTAGGGAGACGACTGACGGAAGTCTCGCCAGGTGGTTGTAGGGAGACGACTGATGGAAGTCTCGCCAGGTGGTTGTAGGGAGACGACTGATGGAAGTCTCGCCAGGTGGTTCCAGGGAGACGACTGACGGGAGTCTCAACAGGTGGTTCTAGGGAGACAAATGACGAAAGTTTCGCCAGTTGGTTCTAGGGAAACGACTGACGGAGGTCTCGCAAGGTGGTTGTAGGGAGACGACTGACGGAAGTCTCGCCAGTTGGTTGTAGGGAGACGACTGACGGAAGTCTCGACAGGTGGTCCTAGGGAGACGACTGATAGGAGTCTCGCTAGGTGGTTCTAGGGAGACAAATGACGAAAGTTTCGCCAGTTGGTTCTAGGGAAACGACTGACGGAAGTCTCGCCAAATGGTTGTAGGGAGACGACTGACGGAAGTCTCGCCAGTTGGTTCTAGGGAAACGAATGACGGAAGTCTCGCCAGGTGGTTGTAGGACAAATGACGGAAGTCTCGCCAGATGGTTGTAGGGAGACGACTGACGGAAGTCTCGCCAGGTGGTTGTAGGGAGACGAATGACGGAAGTGAGTTGGTTGTAGGGAAACAAATGGAAGTCTCGCCAGATGGTTGTAGGGAGACGACTGACGGAAGTCTCGCCAGGTGGTTGTAGGGAGACGACTGACGGAAGTCTCGCCAGGTTGTTGTAGGGAGACGACTAACGGAAGTCTCGCCAGATGGTTCCAGGGAGACAACTGACGAGAGTCTCGCCACGTGGTTGTATGGACACGACTTACGGAAGTCTCGCTAGGTGGTTGTATGGAGACGACAGACGGAAGTCTCGCTAAATGATTTTAGGGAGACGAATGACGGAAGTCTCGCTATGCGATTCTAGGTAGACGACTGACGGAAGTCTCACCAGGTGGTTGTACGGAGACGACTGACGGAAGTCTCGCCAGGTGGTTGTAGGTAGACGACTGACGGAAGTCTCGCCAGGTGGTTGGAGGGAGACGACTGACGCCAGGTGGTTGTAGGGAGAAGAATGACTGACACAACGTATATACTCATAATAACACATGTTCAAGTTTGTTTTTACATCTAATGTCAACATAGAAAGTAAACTGTTATGTAGAAATTTAAAGGTAACTATGTATGCTACTGGAAATGGTCAATATGACGAGTTAATGTGCGTGGGACAATAGAATTTGTTTGATTTAGTGTAGGGCTGCTTAAATTATTTGTTATCATTAAAACACACGAAAAAATCCATTCAAAATATCATTTGAAAATAGCAAGATTCTTCAATTGTCGAAATTAAAGATGGCTGCCTATCGGCCATTTTGTTGTTTGATTAGTCACAAGTTGGAAACATGCACATCTAAGTCTGATGTATAAAATTATGTCAAAACTGGAGAGCGATTAATCCTGCATTTGAGAGGTTATTTTTTGTTGTAAGATTTGACCATGTACACTTAGCGCTTTGATATTTAGTCAAAATTAGGGGGTGGGGGGATAGACGAAAAAAGTTACAGAATCTTGATATATCCAATTAGTCACAAACACAAAATTGTTTTGATGAAATGATAATTATCTGAAAGTAATTTTAAGCATAAAAATTTGAGGGTAGATAAAATGCTTTGCTATTTTTGTGCAAATTTGAAATCTGTTAAAAACAAATCGTATTTGTTTTGTTTTTGTTTTTGTTTTTTTTTTTTTTTTTTTGGGGGGGGGGGAGGGGGACTTGTATGCTATTGAATTATAGTTTGTGTTAAAAGCATATGACACATAGTCGATTTTCATATATCATTTGTATGACCAGTATATATGTTATTTGGCTGTGTACCTGGAATGTGATTTAGATAATTTTCTAATGACTCATGTAAGGTAAAATGCCTACAGAGTTCTGTTCTTTCCTAGTATCGATGTAGGTGGCACTAAACAGACATCCTGAATCTTGAAAATAAGGCAAAAAATACCAAGTGCCAAACTCCACCCCTTAGTGAAGAACTATAAGTGAGTAATTTAATACAACTTTCTTTTTCCGTTTACATGAAAAAAGACATGTGACCCGCTGTTTTGACGTTAACCTTATATTTGAATACAAAAAAAAAAAATCAGTATTTAAAAGCTTTTTCAGAAAAGTGTTGTTACTGTACGTTATATCTACCGGTGCTGCAGCTGTGTAAGAAATCCTGCACGTGTCTACCTACATCTCTCCTATTGATTTACATATAAATTAGCCGGACTTTACTATCAGGCTTCAGTTTCACATATATAATTGGACGACAGTAGGATACGTCTTGGAATTGTTGTACACTTGGAGAGCTATTTTCCTCTCTCTAAGAGGACGTGGATTAATTAACTTAGAATTCAGTGTCGGAGACAACCTTACATCTGGGTCGTTATAACGTTTGATTGCATTGATCTTAAATATTTATGTAGAAAACAGAACAAAAAGGAATAGATAACAGACATTATAGATAATAGCTTACAATTCTAATTCAAAACTGGAATTTAATCAAAATGGACAATACGAGTGTTACAAGTGACCTTACTAGCTCCGCCGGACAGACACCCTGGTACAACGTCGTGGTTTACCAAGGTTTTAATGGATACGGGGTTACAATAACCTACCTTCTGATGAACCTCATCGTAGCAACACTAGGTTTAGCCATTTTGTTGCTGAACTCCTATGCAGCATATGTGATGTCATGTAAACCGCATAACTGGGACGTCACCTATGTGTTCATAAAAAATTTGGCCATTTCTGATGCATTGTGCGGCCTATTTACAATTTACAACATATTCTATAACTTAATCCATTACAAATTATTCTATGAATGCCTTTTTCGATTTGGAGTGTTAAACTGCATTTTATTGAACTCTTCGCTGAATCTGTTTGCACTGACGTTTGACAGATACGTGAAGATAACTGCACCGTATATTTATTGGCGAATATTTGAGGAAGAGAGAGCAAAGGTTTTCACTATTGTCACGTGGTGTTTTACCATTGTAATGGCCTTAGTGCCTCTTGTGGGTTGGCACACGGAACAAAACACCGACTATTGCGGTTATTTTGGAGTGTTTACTAGAGCCTACCTCGCCATGCTTCTGTTGATAGTTTTGATAGGATTTCTGTTATTGTGTGTCATGTACATACATATTCTTATCATCGCCTCGGCCAAGAGTTCCCAAACACAACTGTTCCAGGAACGAATGTTACAGATCCAAGGACTGGCAGTGTACAGATCACGTAATCCCGTCAAGGCTTTATGGTGGAAACCAACCAAAATCATTCTCCTCATTATAGGCATCAACGTCCTCTGCTATACTCCAGTTGGTAAGTACAATGTCCACGTGGAACAGATTTATCATAACTTCAGATGAGTTATACTGAAAGAAATGTCTTCAAATATTCTGATACCGTCACTGTCAGGACGGTTGCTATGTTCGGCAATATAAGAATGGTTGCTATGTCCGTTATTGTTAGGATGGTGGCAATGTCCGTCATTGTTAGGATGGTTGCTACGCCCGTCAGTACAACGATAGTGGCTATGTCCTCAGATATAAAGATGGTTGCTATGTCCTCAGATATAAAGATGATTGCTATGTCCGTCATTGTTAGCATGATTGCTATGTCCGTCGATGTAAGGATAGTTGCTATGTCCTCAGATATAAAGATGGTTGCTATGTCCGTCATTGTTAGCATGATTGCTATGTCCGTCGATGTAAGGATAGTTGCTATGTCCTCAGATATAAAGATGGTTGCTATGTCCATCAGTATAAGGATGGTTGCTATGGTCGTCAGTATAAGGACGGTTGCTATGGCCGTCAGTATAAGGATAGTTGCTATGGCCGTCGATGTAAAGATGGTAGCTATATTCGTAAATTCGTCAATTTCGTAATTTCGTAATCTATAATTCTTATAGATATATAAGATATATCTAAATTTTGACATCTTCATCTATCAATATGGAGTTCCTCGGTCGTCCCTTACGTTTAACATTTAAGGCAAGCAGCATCATTACTGACAAGTCCTAGAAGGACAAAACAACTGTATGTTGCGGTTTAATTTATTGTTTGGCTCTACTGTATCCAATCCAAATTTGCATCAAGATGGTTTCCAACGTTAGATGACACGTGGAGTGTGATAATAGGGACAAAATTACAATGCTATATTATATAAATAATTATAAACATGAAGGACCAGGCCTTGAATTGACTCGATAATTATCAAAGTTTTTAGAGGAACAAACACTTGTAACAATTTTTTTGCATTATAAATTTCAGATAATTCTCGAAATGGAATAGTAGTTTGGTCATTATTTCTGTCTATGACGTTTACGCGGTTTTCACCTTATGGATTGAAAGCCAGTCGTATAAGTTTCATGGTGCTATGAGGGTTTAACGGTTACATCCTTATAGCAATGACGATCACTCTACCTTTTCCAATTTTTTTCATTCTCGGCAAATTCCAAATATTGCCAAGTGAACCGAGGTCTTACTTCAGTTGATTTTCAAAGTTATATTTCATAGAGATTGAATATCTTGATTTTATTTGCTGGTTTTATCTTCCGTCAACAGCCAAATCATTTTAGGCGGTGTTTCCTTATAGTAGCTGGTTGCTACTTCACTGAACAACATACAGGAGGTCAGTCACTTGTCGTGTTTGTTTCTCAGCTTTCTAAAAATCATCAGGAGTATACGGCACCCTTAAGTCAAATGGTCTGGCGATTGGACTATATCCGGTCCCAAAGCGATGAATTGAATTGATTTGAATTGAACATCTGTACTTCCTCCAAAAAGTGAAGATCATCAAACAAAATATATAGGGGAAAATGTTATATAAACATATAGTAATTAATATTTTTGATAAATGTTATGTTTCATATTTACATCAGTTGGCCTTTAAGCTTTTATCCTGAATGTTTCACCATTTTTTTTACCACTGAGTTACTTGACACAGTATATTATCGCTAAAAACACATACAATATTACACGCGTTGCAGCCATTGACCAAGTGCTGCTTTCATCTGGTATAATTTTCTTTGCTGATTCGACCATGATTAATGATAAATAAATTTGTAACAGCTAAAAGTAGAATCGCACAAAAAATCAGATAATAGTAATAGCGAGAAGAATAGGATGGTAGGTATGTTATCAATACACCCCGTTAAAAAGTTAATAATTGTCTAAAGGTAAAATGTTTAAGCAAGTGTAACCTCTCTCCGTGTAATGATCTCTTACTGTTGATAACATTTACCACGATTTTAAATTATTTTAAGTAACAACACTCATGTTTCAAGTAATAAATAATGTACATTATGTGATAATATATATCTAATACGAGGGTGGATATTTCTCGTTACAGGTATCTACGTGCCGTGTGTTTTGTTTGGTATGATGGATGACCTGGACGTTGGAACACAAGGGACACTCCTGTTGTACATATCATGTCCTCTCTACCTCAATAGTTTGGCCAATCCCATTATCTACGCATATAAGATTCCTCTCGTTCGCAAGGCCTTCCGGCGACTGGTGTGTTGTTCCAAACATGACAGTACGGCTTCTATTACATATTAATCTGCATTTTTGTGATTTCGGAACATAAGCATGTCAATCTCAGAGGGTGGAAAGGAGTCTTTCAAATCGATGCAGAAAAAATATAATAAAACAAACGTTGCTTTTTGTTTTGTTTTTGTTTATATTCTTTACTTTTTAAAGTATTTTTCATACTTATCTATTTTATCTTTTGAATTTTGTATAGTGTTATTATCTGTTTATTTTTCAATGTTTCTATTGTGTTAAATGTGAATAAATATCTACCTATGATGCCCTCGTTTTTGGTTCCTTAATGCGTTAAGCGCCGATTGGGGCGCTGGATAGCGCATCGGTAATGACTTGTTTTTCACCCAGCCGTCCGGGATTCGATTCCTGGAACAGGCGTGAAAAGGAATGGGGTCACCTGCCGAAGCATGTGGGCTTCCCCCGGGTACTCCGCTTTGCTCCCACAGTAGGACTCCTCGCGCGCTTCTATCAGTACCAACAAGAGTGATTCATGTAAGCTGGCAGCTTGGTATACAACAAATGTAAAATAAATAAAGTTGACTTTTTATTTCTAGAGAGGTACTGGACGGATCAATCTCAAATTTCACATGTAGGTTTCCCTTGATCTCTAATTATGCTCAAATATTTTTGTGACTGACAAGAAAAATAAAATGGCCGACCGCCGCCAGCTTAGATTTTGACAAGGACAGTTGTTATTGCTGTTTATTTTAGAAGTACTGGACGTATCTTTCTCAAGTTTTATATTTGTTAACCCACGGTCCTTTTTTGTGGCGGTTTGATTTTGGGACTGAGCAGTAAAAAACTGCCGATTTAGGCAGCCATCTTGGAATCTGACACGAAAGCATGTTATCAATATTTCTTGCCGTGTTCTAGATAGATTCTCGAATTTCATATCTAGTTTGCTTTTGGTCTCTACTTGAGCCCATATGACTTTGAAACTAATCTGGAAAACAAAATTGCTTACATGAGGCCATCTTGGGGTTTGACGGTATACGTTTGTCAGCGTTATTTGTAATGAACGGACCTTTTATTTTGGGGCAAGAGCAAACGGCTGACAAGTGGTCCTCTTGGAGTTTGACGAAGTAGGTTTGTTATCGTGATTTCATGAGAGGTACAGGATCGATATTTCTAACAAAAATGGCCGAAGGCGACCATCTTGGCTTTGGCAGTTTAAGATCATTCTTGCAGAAGACAGCTTGGTTTTGGCAGTTTAAGATCATTCTTGCAGAAGACAGAAGAGAAAAGAAGGGAAAACATCTAACTTTTGAATATCAAATTAATATCAAACGATAGTGGGCGTCAGAGATTCTTCTGTATGTTCTGTTAGTCAATACAATTAAGATTAATTAAAGAATGATACCAAAGAATGGTTCAACAAGGAATAAATATAAAAAAAAAAAAAGAAAACTAAAGGAATTCAGCAAGAAGTTAAAACATGGCACGAATGTTACCACAAATCACAGGGGTGCTTCACCAGTACCTACCAACAGCAACCCTGAAGACTGTGTAAAGGACACACTAGTGAACAGAAACTTTCGTTACAAAGATAGAATTAACTACAATAGATACAAATAATAAGTTAAACTGCATCACACTGCTGTTACGTCCCTCTGGGGAGGCAACTGAGAAAAATGAATAATGGTTTAATATTCAAATTGATTTCTTGATATCTCCCGTGAAATCAACATTCATTAACTCCCGTCAGACCGGAGATTCCTGGGGGCAGGAATTTGAACAAGAATGTAGATAAGATAATTTAAGCCGGCTGGTTATTTCATTATTCTATTGCCAAGTGACATCTCTTACACGTCAGACCAAAACCAATGTTACCGGAATACGTTATCAATGTCTTTATATCAGTTAGCAGGCTGTTCTTGGATCTAGACACTAGATCTGAATTCTGGTTACGGACAAGTCACGATAGAGCCAAAAGACCAACAAAATATTGTGTTTGCCACACAAACTGGATTGTATGAGTTTCGAATGAAGCCTTTACGGTAGGCATTGGCACCCACTACATTTGATCGCTGGATGGAAGCAGTCCTATCTGATCTGCAATGGCAGATATGTCTCACATGTGGTGTCGGAGCAAGGCATTGCCACATACCCTAGCAAGACTACAGCAGTCGAGCAACGGCCTATCCCTCACAATGGGAAAGAGACGAGATAATTTTTGGGCTCTGTATCTATTATACATTGTAGGAGGTTTATATATATGTATAGAAAAAAACTCCGTTCAAATTGCAAAATGTCTTCATAAGTTGACAGAAAATGGGCGAAAGTTGGAATCGACGTCTACTTGCTAGCAGGCAGAGCAGCTGAGACATTGGTAAAAGCACCTGTGTTGATCTAACGCATTATACAAAGAAATTCACACTCGATACAGAGGCTAGTCACGATGCCATTGGGGCAGTACTTTCTCACGTGATAAATGGCGTTGAGAGACCTGTAACATGTGCAAGCCGTTATCTGACCAAAGCGGAGAGAAAACATTGTGTAACCAGGAGTTACTAGCAGTGGTTCATTTTACAAAGTGCATGCGACCTGTGCAAACAGATCATAGTTCATTGTGCTGACTTCTGAATGTAAAGGATCATGAGGGGCAAATGACTTTAAGCTTTTCGAAATATAACCGGCGTTATAGTGTTGGGCCATATAATTGTTAAGGCATTTATTTGACTGACTTCAATTTTACCCAAACCCAAACCAAATCTATGTAGGTCCCTTTCCTTCTTCTCCACTTCTGGACAAACTGTAACAGATGGTTCCACTCCTTTGAGGGGATGCAGGTCGCCAGAACGTTTGTCGGTGACACATTAACCGGACACGCTGAGGAGTCGCGGAGATGGAAGACCTGTCAATCAATCAATCAATCAATCACGCGAGAGCGTCATTCTCCTTAACCTAGTCATGCTGTTAACATCGCGGGTATATTTCACACTATTTAGTGGGTTTGGCAAAAATATAAATTTAGGTGACAGAATAAACATAATCGTGACCTGTGTCATTACCTGAGAGAACGGGAAATGACTAGTGTTTAAGCTAGCTATTGTCAGTAGCTACACGTATCTCATTATCTGTATATATTGGCCGCTGGATCCCCAACAAGTTACATTAGTCGGGTGTGATGCAATAAAGCGGAATATCCGATGGAATCCAATCGGTCATAGGCAATGGCAATATAAATGCAATTCTGTATCAGGACAAAATTTTAGTGCCCGTTGCCATCCTGTTTGTTTCAGCGTCAAGGAGCTGGATCCGTTGTTTTAGCATGATAATGTGACATCCCACAACAGTCACGTGACTAGAACGATCTTACAGCAGAACGATGTCAGAGTCCTTGGCCAATAACGGTCACCTGAGGTCGCCAGGTCCTTGGACAGATTTGAAGCCTGTCTATCAGCCCAAGCATTTTGGCAGGCAGAACAGAACTGATATATAGTTTTTATTGCTTCTAAGTTTGAAGGCATAATTTTCGATCCAACGGAACTGTTGTTTTTAGATTAGCATATTCGAACCCTGTGGCCTTGAATGAAGGGCAAGGTCATTCTTTTGAAGAAACATGATAGTTCTTCATTCCAGCATGCTATTGGACCAATATCATGACCATGGGTCATTTGCTTATTGGGAAGAAGTCGTCAAAAGATTTTAACACATTTGACCCCTGACATTGAGAAAAGGTCAAGGTAATTCATTTGAACAACCATGATAGCCCTTCATCCCAGAATACCACTAGCCCAATACCATGACCCTGGGCCTTTTGGTTATTGAAAAAAAGTTGAAAATGTAAACTGTTAATGATGCATGACTGCCAATGCACGACAAAAGATTATTGCAACAGTTCACTTAAGACTTCGTCTCATGTGATGTAATAAGAAAATAGGACAGATAAAGGATAAAGTTTGAACTCGTTAAGATTTTAAGCAATTTAATAAAAGAATTAACAAACAAACCATGATAGATATCTGCAAGTTACGATGAAGATGATGGGTACAATGACACAATTTAAAGATGACAAACCAATGACAGTGTTATGATGACAGACACAGTGATCAAATGATGACAGACCAATGGCAGCAAAAATACATTAATGACAATTGAATTTTCGTAACAGGATATCACTGAAGAATTTGACTTAATGACAAAATTTGTAATTCCTGGCATGTAATTACAGGTGATGAGAGGGTTTTCTATTCTCTATAGATGCCAGTTAATTAAGTAATTTCTTTTCTCCACAGAAAAGGACGTGAGATGTCACTGTATGTGTGTGGTTTATACAATTCCAAGAAGTGACAAGCCAAGCATCACTGTACACACAAGTAAAGTTAAAATGCCTATATATCCGAAAAAACCATTCTTCCTCTTCTCTGGGTCTGCAAAATAAAATACAAATTGCTTTCATTTCCACAATGGTATTGTCATAAGATAGATTTCTCTGTTAAGTCTTAGTTCAAATTCATTACTATCGATCATAGCAGAGTACCACAAACTGAACCCTGTTTTTTTATCTGTTGTGAAGCTCAAGATGTCGGATACACTTACTGACAACTAATGTAATACCCAATACAAAATGTACTTATCACAAGTATAGTAGACCAATGTGTAGGTCACTCCATCTTTAAAATGTACTTATCACAAGTATAATAGACCAATGTGTAGGTCACTCCATCTTTAAAATGTGCTTATCACAAGTATAATGGACCAATGTGTATGTCACTCCATCTTTAAAATGTACTTATCACAAGTATAATGGACCAATGTGTAGGTCACTCCATCTTTAAAATGTACTTATCACAAGTATAATGGACCAATGTGTAGGTCACTCAATCTTTAAAATGTACTTATCACAAGTATAATGGACCAATGTGTAGGTCACTCCATCTTTAAAATGTACTTATCACAAGTATAATGGACCAATGTGTAGGTCACTCAATCTTTAAAATGTACTTATCACAAGTATAATGGACCAATGTGTAGGTCACTCCATCTTTAAAATGTACTTATCACAAGTATAATGGACCAATGTGTAGGTCACTCCGTCTTTAAAATGTACTTATCACAAGTATAATGGACCCATGTGTAGGTCACTCTAGCCATGGAATTTTTAGCTTTAGTATAATACCCTAACAGTTTCAGTTTTCCAGCTGTTGAATACACTGACACTTAAATAAAATTTTCCAATTTATAGTGAAATCATAGTACATGAAAGTCGATGTTAGTTCTAGCTGTGTGATACATTTACTCAAAGTATAAATTATACCAAAATGTGTAGCTCATTGTAACTAGTGAATACACTTACCCCCTGTGTAATATCCAAGTGCATAAGCTACCCGTCCAGCCATCCAGATCAGGCCACTGACAGCTCCAAGTTTCTATAAACACAAGAGTGCATAGCAGTCATTAGTAACTGGGCTTCAGCTGAACTGTTACCTGTAGACAAATGTGGCAATGAATTAATTAAACCATAAATACCCATGTAATGTGCTTTTTAGGGTTAAAAAAAAACTGAAAAATGCTTCTTCTTGCATGATGTGCACACCCAAAAATTCAGTGATAAATGATTCCCAAAAGCTGAGAAATCTATCTCGGAATGTTCAGCTGACACTTCAGAACAACAATATAAGGTCCAAAACTTGAATGTATTTTCTTATAAGTTTGTTTTCATCTCTTATATTGACTTTTAATTACTGTCTTATCTTTAATTATTGGAACAATAATACGATGGAAAATAATCAACCTCTTATTAGTTTTTGTTATTCGTTTTCTTTGACATCAGATGTGTTAAGCTTCATTATTCTGTTACCTATCCAATTTATCCATATTTATTTATCTTACATACACCAACACTTGTCTTCACACTAGGCATTAATCAACAGTATGCAGTGTTGAAATCACGGGTACAAGTCATTATCTACCTATTAATGACCAGGTAATTATGATCTCTGCCAGTCAAGTTTTCTTTCACGTCTGGCTGTCAAATTATACACATGCCTGCTGACATGCAAGTGATCAGTATATCAAGTACAGACTGTATTCATCCTCAACACTCCAGAATTTTTTTTGTAAAGAACTTATATATGACACCACCCCTCCCAACCTCTAGATATATATTTTGAAAAAATTGATAGCCCTTTATCCCCACATGAAAAGGCCTTAAATCAGCACCCTGGTCCTGTTATTGAGAAGAAGACTTTTGGACATGCACCCATGTGACCTTGAAAGTGGGTCAAGGTCAATCATTTGAACAAACTTAGGTCATTTAGCCATTAATCTCAGCATGTTGTAAAACAAATGAACATACTTTTTTGGTGCAATTAAATTTTAGCCTAATATTGATTATGGAACAATTGTCAAAGTGGAATGATAAATTCAAGCATTTGAAATCAACTGTTATAATGACATAAAGAATCTAGAGTTAGCACAATCATATTTAAGCGCAATATCTTTAGCACAAAAATCCCTTTAGAATAAAATTAACCCCAAACTATATACAGTTACAGTATCAGTATTAAGCAGAAATTGGGTAAAAACTTTCACACATTAGTAATCTAGAAAGTAGGTCAAGGTCTGATTTATTTTTACTAACTTTGAAGCACTTCCTCAAGGCATACAACAGGACCAATATCAGTACCTCCTGCTTTTTAAGAAGTATCTTTAAAATTTTAACACATTTGACCCCTGTGACTTTTAAACAGGGTAAAGGTAAATCCACTGCTCAAACTGGATATTTTTTCTTCCAATGTAGAGCATGCTAAAAGGCAAAATTTCAGCACCCTGATCCTATTGGTTATTGGGAAGATATCTACAGTTGAATATTTTATCATGTTGTCTTCTGTGACCTTGAAAGTGTCTTTAGGTAATTCATTTAAACAAACTTGATATCACATCATCCCAGCATGCTACAATACCAATATCAGTACCCTGGGCGTTTTGGTAATTGTAACAGCTGTTTGAACATTCTAACAAATTTGATCCCTATGACCTTGAAACATGGTCAACATCAATCATTTCAACAAACATGGTAGCCTTTCATCCTAGCATGCTAAAGATCAATATCAGCACCTAGGCCTTTTGGTGTTTTGTGAAGTTGCTGACTTTGACTTTGAAAGTGGGTCAAAGTCATTCATTTGACGTTGCAGCCCTTCAACCCAAGCATACTATAAAACCAATATCATTACAACGGGTATATTGCTTATTGAGAGGAAGTCGTTTGAAAGGAAAAGTTGATTCCAAACACACAGACAACCAGGTCATAGCCTAAGTTCACTTGCCTTAACGGCTCTTATACCTGAACAGTCATTTCACAATTAGACATTTCAGAAATTATTATCCACCAAAAGCAATGTTTTACATGAAATCTTGTTGAAATTCAAAAGGCCATTTAGGAATTCTACCAATGGAAAATCTCAGCTGAACCCTTTCTGGGGCCCAATCCTTACTTTCTGGGGTCTAATCACCTTCCTGAGTTTGAAAAGTAATTGACCTCCCCAAGTGATGATACAGACTGAATTTGACAGAAATCCACACAGAATTAAGAGAGACTATTTTCAAATGCTAGTAAAATTCCTCATTCAGGATCTTCCCTCCTGTCCATTGAGATCAATTGAACTAAAGGGAAATAACTGACCTCCCTAAGTGTTGATAAGATTTAGATTTAATCTGATTGAATTTTGCTCTTCTGGAAACACTGATGGATCTAGAAAATAAAACCTGAGATTTCACAATTTACTTATAGGTCTGTGACACTTATGTTAGTATACGTAGATATAACCCTGAAACTTAGTCCAGGGGGATCAGGCCAACCATAATCATAATTATGTTTATCTTTTGATGCCTAGGAATACCATAATATGGTTATGGGGGGAGGATCTCAACTGTTTGAAAGATATATGAACAAGAAACTAAATCCCAAGGGGTGGGGCCAGAACCCTGGAGCCAATTCCAACATCATGATTGTGTTTATTTTATAATGACCAGCAATGTTATGTATTGTTGTGGGGTGGGGATCTCAATAGCTAGGGAGATATCATGTAATTACATAAAGTAATATTGACCCTGCTGTACCACTTGACCCCTGGGCCCAAGGGCCATTAGTTTCATAAATTCGAAAGAAGACTAATTGATATCTATAATTCAATATACTGTCACTTTATTCTGCTTGTAAAAACAGAGCAGACTTTTGAAAGATTTTTTTCCTATTTGGCCCTGCCCCTCAGGCCCCAGGGACAGGGTTATGACAGTACTGGGGTTTTTATGAGTACCTACCCACCACACATTTAAGACTGAAATACATCATGTAGAACTGTCACTGTATTATTATTCTGGACACAAAATACGTGTAATTTTTTCTGTCATTAAAATTACTTTTATCACCAATGTATGTGCAAACTAAATGCCAACACACTTAGCAGAGCTTAATACAAAAAAAAATTTACACTGGAAAAATGAGAGTCCAAACAAAAACCCACCAACAATTCAGTTTTATTTAAAGGAATAAAAAATTGATATATATTTGATGGTACTATTAAACGACGGTCTGTCCCCAATTTCAAGTCAATCGGATGCTTGGAAAATGGCTATTTCTCAAATTGCATTACCTGACAAAATTCATCTGATGATACCGGGCTAAAACTAGAGATTTTGGTGGTAATACCCATCTATAGCGGTCCACCAAGGATATTGAAGTGAGTATCCAAATTGAAGTTGTGTGAATACAACAGGAATCCTGATGGAATCGACACATCATGTCATTTTAAGCCAATACCCACATGATCCTTCAGGGTAAAAGCATAGAGTATCTTTTTTAAATACCTACTGGTGCATACAGGCCTCCAAATATCTGTAGTATTATGTATGTGGGATACACTTCCAACCTGAACAAAAAGAAACAGTGTATTACAAGATCAAAATGATGTACAATGTAAGATATAATACCCTACAGTAATGTGTGACTGACACACAAATCTACAGTGTGACAGATATAATACCCTACGGTAATGTGTGACACACAAATCTACAGTGTGACAGATATAATACCCTACAGTAATGTGTGACACACAAATCTACAGTGTGACAGATATAATACCCTACAGTAATGTGTGACTGACACACAAATCTACAGTGTGACAGATATAATGTACCCTACGGTAATGTGTGACCACTACAGTAATGTGTGACACACAAATCTACAGTGTGACAGATATAATACCCTACAGTACTGTGTGACTGACACACAAATCTATATTGTGACAGATATAATACCCTACAGTAATGTGTGACACACAAATCTACAGTGTGACAGATATAATACCCTACAGTAATGTGTGACTGACACACAAATCTACAGTGTGACAGATATAATACCCTACAGTACTGTGTGACTGACACACAAATCTACAGTGTGACAGATATAATACCCTACAGTAATGTGTGACTGACACACATATCTACAGTGTGACAGATATAATACCCTACAGTAATGTGTGACACACAAATCTACAGTGTGACAGATATAATACCCTGCAGTAATGTGTGACTGACACACAAATCTACAGTGTGACAGATATAATACCCTACAGTAATGTGTGATTGACCAACAAATCTACAGTGTGACAGATATAATACCCTACAGTAATGTGTGATTGACACACAAATCTACAGTTTGACAGATATAATACCCTACAGTAATGTGTGATTGACACACAAATCTACAGTGTGACAGATATAATACCCTACAGTAATGTGTGACACACAAATCTACAGTGTGACAGATATAATACCCTACAGTAATGTGTGACTAACACACAAATCTACAGTGTGACAGATATAATACCCTACAGTAATGTGTGACTGACACACAAATCTACAGTGTGACAGATATAATACCCTACAGTAATGTGTGACTAACACACAAATCTACAGTGTGACAGATATAATACCCTACAGTAATGTGTGACTAACACACAAATCTACAGTGTGACAGATATAATACCCTACAGTAATGTGTGACACACAAATCTACAGTGTGACAGATATAATACCCTGCAGTAATGTGTGACTGACACACAAATCTACAGTGTGACAGATATAATACCCTACAGTAATGTGTGACTGACACACAAATCTACAGTGTGACAGATATAATACCCTGCAGTACTGTGTGACTGACACACAAATCTACAGTGTGACAGATATAATACCCTACAGTACTGTGTGACTGACACACAAATCTACAGTGTGACAGATATAATACCCTACAGTAATGTGTGATTGACACACAAATCTACAGTGTGACAGATATAATACCCTACAGTAATGTGTGACTGACACACAAATCTGCAGTGTGACAGATATAATATCCTACAGTAATGTGTGACACACAAATCTACAGTGTGACAGATATAACACCCTACAGTAATATATTACATTGTGCAATAAGTAGATATCTGTAGTGTAAGATAGATGAATTTTTATTAATTAATTGCTTTGAAAATAACACATTTATCACCTGTAATGAGTTGTTATATTTCCAAATATTTCTTAAATTTTTTGTTTTGCATTTCAGTAATTGGTATTTCATTACAGGACCTATTAAGATGTCAAGACGACAAGACGACAACACAAAACATGCCATACATAAGAACACGTCAATTCATCCTCAGTGTAACATTTCCATCGGGGTAAAAACAGATCACAGAAACTCACTTTTGTTATATATAATATTTTTTCACACTCATTATTTTTTCAAAAGTTACAAAAATACTCCCTAAGCTTGTGATTCCCTTTGTGATAAGTACACATCAACCTTTTGTAAACTCTACATATCCTACATAACAACACCCATCATCACTTACGTGTTCTGATGGGCTCTCTGTATACAGTTGAACCGGTCATCATTGGCACTATACATTCTTGGGTCCTGAAAATTCAAGAAAAGAAAACTTTACTACATCAAAGTACTGGAAATACTGAAGACAGTTGCGACAGTTTAAGCTTTATTGAGTCTGTACTTAACCCAATCAATTTTCAGCGGTCTGTGTCGCTGACATTGTTATCCCATTAAGTTAAGGATAAGTCTTTATGTTAACATTGTGAAGCAGTGGATAAAGTGGTCTATGTTTTGATTTTGTGAAAAAAAACACTGGAAAACAGTGAATAGTGAAAACGAAAATTGAGAATACAATGGGTGGTTCAGTGGCACCATGGTAATGCGTTCACCTTTCACCTACACATCCAGGATTCAATTCCCGGAATTAATGTAAAAAGGTATGGGGTCACCTGCCCGACCACGCGGGTTTTCCCCCAGTACTACAGTTCCCTCCAACTGTGAGACCTCTTACGCCCTTCCATTCAGGCCAACAAGAGTGATTAATAAAAGTTGGAAAACTTGTTTAGCAATTGTAAAATAAATTTATTTATTGATTTATTTATGGAAATACATCTTGATAGTACCATCACAAAACAAGAGATTCTGAAGGGATGGTGGTGTCCACCATCGTTCTATCTTTATTTGTTCTTTTAAAAGTCGGATCTTCTTTCTATTCTTTTATTTGCTTTTGATGCTTGTTTATGAAAAGTGAAAATAGGCTTACAGGCATCCTTATTATTACAAATCTGCAGAATTTTCATTACCAGAACAGATCTACAGAAGTATTGTTTTTATCTAAGGATTGGATTGTATCAATATAAAAATTTCTGATTTGGTGTTTTTCTCTATTCATCCAACATGTAAACACACAAATGTGACGTATACATGTATTTGATGGTACCAAACGGATCCCAGTCTGGCAGTACCCCAAGACACGACATAGTAAACACAAAAAGCTAGGTTAGGGATGAGCATCTAGGTATGGTAATGTCAACCACCTGGGATAAGTAATTTATGTCCTGAGGGAGATGACAGGACACAGATTTTAAGTCATATCAATAATAGTTTACCATAAAGTCAACACTGTAACGAACCGAGAAGAGAAAAAAGAAGCCTTAAAAGACACAATGAAATCCATCAATTAGTGACTGGGATTTTATCTACTTAGAGCCCCTACCTGAACTGAGATTTTGTACTTTTGGGGTTAAGATGTACAAGTCATAATATATAACAGAAATATGCATTGATTTGGCTTCATGAAAATGTATAGTTTTAAAACATTTCAAGATATGTAGGGTAGATTTCGACACGTATAAATGTCAGTGGGTATGATTAGTTTCATCTATAAACTTCTGGTTGTTGACTTCTGAAGGCAATGACAATCTGAGATGTCACCTGACCTACACAATTAAGCCATTTGCAGTCTTTGACAGGTATATTTCTATGAATCTAGACAATTGTTACTTGTGTTGAACTTCAAATATTATGTAGTTCTTTAGCCTACAGATTGACATTATCTTTGTATGACAAGTTATTTTACTGTGAGACCAGTAACAACACTGTTGTTTATTTCATGTTCATTTGCCTTAATCATAACAAACTGCTATACCCAGATTTGACCAAACTTATTGAATGCTTGCCTTTGTAACCATTTTCTATAAATCGCTAATTTTTATTCAAAATTAGTTTCGAGGACTGAAAGAATTCTATTGATGCATTCCAGTGTTATGAAAAGTATCACCCAGTATTCAATTTGATCTTTAATAAACAAACATATCCAATTATGTCCTTGTAACACACAGTACTAAAAGTATTGGTAGAACACTCTTGTAAACTTAACATTGCTTGCCATACACTGATCTCTAAATTGTCATATTTCAACAAAGGAGGGAATTCTGATGATAAAATCACAGATAGGTAGTTCTTTGGACTATTGTAACACAAATATGCATTCCAACTCTTTTGCTGCAGGCTTTGTTGCAACCATACCAGGATATAGGTTTGACTTTGTGTGGCTCCTTTGGTCCCCAACAGCCAACAGGAAAGGGCGTACATCTGTTAGGCTCCTGTTATCTCTAATAAAATGTTTAGGTACTGCTGCTGTCAATCCTATCTGAATTCCAGTTGTAAACTATTTACTGGTTATCTGTTAGCACTATCAATGATTTTTTTTTATTTTGTGTGAATTTTGATGTATTTTTGTATCAATTTGAACAGGTCTGAGTTTGTCAGTTTTCGGTTTCAGACTTATGTATTTGGTAAATAAGTAAATTAGTTTTGAGAAATACTTATCTAGTGGCTTTGGATTACTAACAAGCTGTTTCCCACCGTTTTGTAGTGCTTTATTGGGAATGGAGAAAAGTCTTGGGATTGTGTGTAATGATAATGGCTTACCATGCCACCTGCTCCAAACTCAGACACTGCATGGATTTACCAAGATTAACATAAAGCTTCTATTTCTGGGAACTGTTTAACAAACAGGGTGCCACTTACAAGTGAGTGTATATCTGTTTGTAAGCCATACGTAAAAGTTACAACCCTGTTTAACCAAGCATGTGTTATTTAGGAGCATCGGGTGAAACTTACACCACCGCCTGAAGTAGTTAAAATTCATATGTATCTTCACACCCACTTGCATCAGTGAATCCAAAATGGCAGCTACAAAGATTTAGGACAGGAAGAAAGAAGAAGAGCGATGAGAAGTGTGTTTCGGGACAGGGCTAATTATCTAGACACATATGATCGTATCTCATTTAATTGAATGAAACCTGCAAGCAGGTTACGTGTCACCAACATGGAGCATATGTTGCATTACACTCTATTCTATGCTATGTATTAATGTAATACCAAGCTTTGCCATGCTATTTAGAATAACAAAAATTGTGGATCAGTCTTTCTACCCCACCAGCCAGAAATGCCCACACTTCCAATGAGGGTTTGATCGAGACGTCTTCCTCATCAAAACAGTCTGCATGCACAGGAAGTACAAGTCGGGTGCGAGTTATTGTTAATTACAACATCTTTATGATGTGTCGTGGTCAGTTGGGGTCAATGGTGTCATTAACAATTGTCACTGGGGCCTCAAATGCAAATGACCATACCCATGGTTATAATATCTCATGCATATTTATTTTTTAAGGAGAACAAGGGGTAGGAAAGGATAGTTCCCTACCTTGATAGTTAGACAGAGAAATCTCTACCATCGGAGGAGATTCCTGACAGTCGAACCCTTCAGTTAAAGAAAGATAAGTTTAACCATCTACATGTTCTACGCCTCGCAAACGAATAATATTTTCCCCCTTTGTAAGACTTCCTTTTTGCATCCCGAACCTTCCGTGTGCGTGCTTGGCTTTTACCTTAAAAAACTTTTTCAGTCAAATAGGTATACGTCCTTAAAAAGTTAGTTGGAGTGCAAGAGGAAGCATTTCACTGAATTTCTTTCCAATGTGCATTTTTTTCCACAAAAAAAGGTCTGCCCATTTAAATGCAAGCTACCATGGAAACAAAGTTTTTGCGTTACCGGAATAGAGTACATCCGTCTTGCCTCCAAGACTTTCATTGCCGTCCAGTTTAAGAGGAACCATGTCGAAGCTATGACTAAAACAACGTATCCGTGATCGGGCGTAATATCAATAGACATCCCTCTAGATCTTGTTTCCCACCTTCTCTGGCCGCAATCATAATCTATGTCATGAGTACGTTTGTAAATAAAGGACTTCTATTTACCGATAAGAACCTACAATAGCCAAAATCGACGACATGATCGAAGAAAAAGAAGAAATGATTACTTAAATGAGCAGAAGGGGTTATCTGCCCTTGAAAGAAAACGTCTGGGTCTGTTTTGAGTTGCGAATTTGACGTAAACATAATTGTGTTAACATGTTAAATCGTTGCTCACATTATGTGAGGTTATATGTAGCTACTTGAGTGAATAAAATGTCAATTGTGGCGGATGAGGTGTTTGCTCGTACTATGAACACATGTGTTAGCTGTATAATAATAATTATCTTAATTATTTTTGTTATAATAATTCTTAGTTTGCAGAGGGTACAGTACAAATATAACAATCTTACACACAGGCCTCCCAAATGACAATGATATACTGACAACCTACAAATATATACTATCTACCCCATTGATATACATATGTATATTGAAGATAAATGGTTACCCTAAAATCAAGTAAACCAAAGTCAACAACAATATACAATGTATATAATAATGAACTAATTAAAAGATTACAAGATAATTAACTTTGATCTTAATTCAGGTGTGTCAATTAAGACTACATGAAATTTAATTATAAAATTTTGTAACTAGATAAATATTCATATATATGTAAATATAATATATATATATATGTTAAGTTCACGTATATTCATACTAGTTTGATGCTCACCTAATTGAGCTAAAGAGAAGTTCTCTCTAGCCAAGTGGTATATTGCGGCTAGTATTTTACCAGGGTTATACAAGTATGATACTTAACTATAAGTTTATAGGGTAGAATATCACTGTCCTTAAAAAAGTTCCGTACTTGGTGTTAAAACAGATTTGAGTAATGTACCTGGAAAGGCTAGTTTTTGCAACTTTGTTATAAGTTAAATTTGTCCTTTAGTTAGACCATCACCCCGTATATCACATAATTATTGTTGGAGAATGTAGGCATTGTAATTTAGTCTCATAGCATTGGATGGTAGATACTTTGAGATTTTACATAGTAAAGCAACAGCTGAAGACAGTTTTCTTGAAACTTCCTTTACGTGTTCTGCCCAAGTAAAGTTTCATTTATATCAACATCAAGGACATTTTGAGTTTTTGTTGATGTAAGATCAAAACCATCTACAGCAATGTTTATGGCAGTCTCCATTGTAAACTTCTAATGGGAGGAAATACATGTACGCATAATAGTAGTTTTTTGTAGATGTATGAGCATGTTATTAATAGAACACAATCTCATTACATTCATTTTGTAGTTTACAATATTCGCAGAGTTAGCTCCTTTTACATGTAAGGTTGTATCATTTACATACATATCAGTATCACAATTGGGAACAAATCGTGGTAAGCCATTGATATCAAATATAAACATCAGAGGACCTAATATTGAACCTTGTGAAAGAAGCTAGTTTTTGCAACTTTGTTATAGTTAAATTTGACCTTTAGTTAGACCATCACCCTTGTGGTATCACATAATTATTGTTGGAGAGGTAGGCATTGTAATTTAGTACTCATAGCATTGGATGGTAGAGGACTTTTGACCCTTTTACAGTAAAGCAACAGCTGAAGACAGTTTTCTATTCCTTTTGACGTTGTGGTACAAGTAAAGTTTCATTTGTGGTACATCAAGGACATTTTGAGTTTTTGTTGATGTAAGATCAAAACCATCTGTGGTACAGCAATGTTTATGGCAGTCCTTTGTACAACTTCTAATGGGAGGTGGTAAATACATGTACGCATAATATTGACCCTTTTTGTAGATGTATGAGCATGTTATTAATAGAACACAATATTGATTACATTCATTTTGTAGTTTACAATATTCGCAGAGTTAGCTCCTTTTACATGTAAGGTTGTATCATTTACATACATATCAGTATCACAATTGGGAACAAATCGTGGTAAGCCATTGATATCAAATATAAACATCAGAGGACCTAATATTGAACCTTGTGGTACAGGAGAGGACCTAATATTGACCCTTGTGGTACAGGAGAGGACCTAATATTGACCCTTGTGGTACAGGAGAGGACCTAATATTGACCCTTGTGGTACAGGAGAGGACCTAATATTGACCCTTGTGGTACAGTAGAGGACCTAATATTGAACCTTGTGGTACAGGAGAGGACCTAATATTGACCCTTGTGGTACAGGAGAGGACCTAATATTGAACCTTGTGGTACAGTAGAGGACCTAACATTGCACCTTGTGGTACAGTAGAGGACCTAATATTGAACCTTGTGGTACAAGAGAGGATCTAATATTGACCCTTGTGGTACAGTAGAAGATCTAATATTGACCCTTGTGGTACAGTAGAGGACCTAATATTGAACCTTGTGGTACAAGAGAGGATCTAATATTGACCCTTGTGGTACAGTAGAGGACCTAATATTGACCCTTGTGGTACAGAAGAGGACCTTATATTGAACCTTGTGGTACAGTAGAGGACCTAATATTGAACCTTGTGGTACAGGAGAGGATCTAATATTGACCTTTGTGGTACATTAGAGGACCTAATATTGACCCTTGTGGTACAGTAGAGGACCTAATACTGACCCTTGTGGTACATTTGATGACCTAAAATTGACCCTTGTGGTAAAGTAGAGGACCTAATATTGACCCTTGTTATACAGGAGAGGACCTAATATTGACCCTTGTGGTACAGGAGGGGACCTAATATTGAACCTTGTGGTACAGGAGAGGACCTAATATTGAACCTTGTGGTACAGGAGAGGACCTAATATTGACCCTTGTGGTACAGTTGAGGACCTAAAATTGACCCTTGTGGTAAAGTAGAGGACCTAATATTGACCCTTGTTATACAGGAGAGGACCTAATATTGACCCTTGTGGTACAGGAGGGGACCTAATATTGAACCTTGTGGTACAGGAGAGGACCTAATATTGAACCTTGTGGTACAGGAGAGGACCTTGTGGTACAGGAGAGGACCTAATATTGACCCTTGTGGTACAGTTGAGGACCTAAAATTGACCCTTGTGGTAAAGTAGAGGACCTAATATTGACCCTTGTTATACAGGAGAGGACCTAATATTGACCCTTGTGGTACAGTAGAAGACCTAATATTGAACCTTGTGGTACAGGAGAGGACCTAATATTGACCCTTGTGGTACAGGAGAGGACCTAATATTGACCCTTGTGGTACAGTTGAGGACCAAATATTGACCCTTGTGGTACAGTAAAGGACCTAATATTGACCCTTGTGGTACAGGAGAGGACCTAATATTGAACCTTGTGGTACAGTAGAGGACCTAATATTGAACCTTGTGATACAGGAGAGGACCTAATATTGACCCTTGTGATACAGGAGAGGACCTAATATTGAACCTTGTGGTACAGTAGAGGACCTAATATTGAACCTTTTGGTACAGGAGAGGACCTAATATTGACCCTTGTGGTTCAGGAGAGGACCTAACATTGACCCTTGTGGTACAGTAGAGGACCTAATATTGACCCTTGTGGTACATTTGATGACCTAAAATTGACCCTTGTGGTACAGGAGAGGACCAAATGTTGACCCTTGTGGTACAGGAAAGGTCCTAATATTGACCCTTGTGGTACAGGAGAGGACCTTATATTCAACCTAGTGGTACTGGAGAGGACCTAATATTGAACCTTGTGGTACAGGAGAGGACCTAATATTGAACCTTGTGGTACAGTAGAGGACCTAATATTGAACCTTGTGGTACAGTAGAGGACCTAATATTGAACCTTGTTGTACAGTTGAGGACCTAATATTGACCCTTGTGGTACAGGAGAGGACCTAATATTGAACCTTGTGGTACAGTAGAGGACCTAATATTGAACCTTGTGGTACAGGAAATGTCCTAATATTGACTCTTGTGGTACAGTAGAAGATCTAATATTGACCCTTGTGGTACAGTTGAGGACCTAATATTGAACCTTGTGGTACACCTGTTTTGACAACAAATAAACATCCCACAGATGTTATCTAAACTGAATAACCAGTCCGTTTATGAAGAACTGTTTAAAAAGAATGTTTCTGTGTAAAAAGTGAGAAGGATGCAAAAAGTTATATTTCATTAAATATGTGTACAGATGATGTGTTTCTCACACATCTTAGAATTAGTTGGTAATATGGACATTGGTCTATCATTATCAGGGCAATATTTGGCTTTACCTCTATGGTTGGGAGTTAAAGTGATCGAAACCCCTGGAGTATCGAGGATGAAACAAACGGTGTCGCGCAACATTGCAATGATTATGTTATATGTGCACAGCAATTTGGATAGTTCAAAACCCTCTAGTGAATGTGCATGAGTAGGAGTGCTGAGCAATCAGTCGTTGTATATCATGGATTATAGCGCATTCTGATTGGTTGAATGTTAGTTATCGTCCAATTTTTATGAAAATTGTATGTAGGTGTGATTTCCATAGGAATTATATGTAGATATGGTATAACACCACAGTGGTAACATTCATTTTCTAATTGGACAAGATAGACTCAACATAGCGGCTTTAGACTGGCTGAAATTTCATCTGACTGTTCAACAGCGGCCTCTGATTGGTCAATATCAAATATTTAGACATTGTTTGATTTCCATGTGGGAAAGTGGAGTCTTACATCAACAACACAATTGTTTCGTTTTTTTATTGGACAATATTGCCACCACATAGCGACTTCTAATTGACTGAAGTTTAAATATCGTCTAATTTCCATGAAAATGGTGACAATGGTGACATTAGTTTTTCGATTGGAAAATATGGCCGTTGCATAGCAGTTTCCGATTGGAGGATATTTAGGGCGTCTGGTTTTCAAGAAAATTTGTTTAAATGTATTGATTGACATCAGTAACACAATGATAGGGTCCATTTTCTGATCCAATCAAATGACCCCCGATGAGAGCTTCTGAATAGTTAAAATTTGCATGTTGTCTTATTTTTATTAATTACATAAGTGTTGTCCGACACAACAAGCACAACGCTGATGCTTATTTTCTTCTTGGACAAAATTACTGCCCCACACTGACGACTAATATGGTGAAATGTTATAAGAATATTCTAGTATTGGACTATGGTATAGATGGAATGTTAAAGTATTAGAATATTATATAGTTGGAATGTTATGATATTGGAATATTATGTTATAAGAATGTTATGCTATTGGAATATTATATAGTTGGAACGCAATATTATTGGAATATCTTGTTGTAAGAACGTTCTAGTATTGAACTATAATATAGTTGGAACATTTTAGTATTGGAATATTATTTATCCCATAACCACGTCCGTTTCAAAATGCCATATTCTTAGCTGATTAGAACATGAAAATAAACACTATTTAATCATTAGAGCATTAACTCGTAACAAGACCGGTTGTTATTGCTTCTTTCCTCTTCTTCTTTTGAACTTCGTTGTGTCATGATCTGTTGATCTGTGAGATATAGATTTGTAGTCTATTTAGCATGTTATTGGTATGTTTCTGAGGGTTGCAATGCCACTTATTTTTAAGTAGGTCAACAGTCATTTAAACAGTACATTTATATTATTTGTAGATAATATCAATATCTTAACATTTTCCCATGACATTCAAAATGTCAAAATATAGCTTGCTGTTAGGTCAAAGGTCACAAATTTCATGTTTGTTTTTTTTCGTTTTTTTTCCACAGGTCAACGCAGAATGCCATTCTGATTAATTTGATGCCCTCAGTTTTCCTTAGTATTTACTGTTCATGTTAGACGCATTTTGAAAATTTCCTTGGATCTTTTAAAAGCTAACAAATTGTTAGCCAACAATTTCCAGTTTAACATACTTTTATTGCAAGTTCAGAACACCACAAGAGGCTCATGGGTCTTAACGGTCATCTGACTATAAGAACCAATACCGCGGTATACAATAGAGGCCAAATAAGCCTCAATTAAACAACTTCTCCACAACTTACAAAGAAGAATTTGTCAGCTCATAAAACAATTTTCTCCATTTTGAAATCCTATTCCTTATACATGCAACTACACAAACACCATGAAACCAGACCTATTTCTTGTTGAAAGAGAAAATTCAAGATCTCAACAAATATTAACTCTGTGACCTTGATTGTAGGCCAACACCATTTATTTAAATGATTTTAGACAATCAGGGTGTTGTGTAGAACATAATAAAAACAAATCAATTATTTCAGTTGGTTTTAATAAAACGTAGGTATCCCTGTCATGTGATACAGGTAATGTAAGAGTAACTCATCATGTATATTGTTATTAAGTTTTCATAATTACTGAGTAAATTTAACTGTATCCTTCAAATCTTCATTTAATTTTTATATTAGTAGCACTTAAACACAATTATGTAATATGCATTATTCCACAAAGTAGATAAAATTAAAATTAATGCTTTACAAAGTCATAAATACAATGTAACAAAATGACAAGACTGTCCACAAGGCTTTCTGCCTTTTCTGCAATCAGTGACAACAAATAAACATTCTGTCGGGAGAAGACAGAAAGGCCTGAAGAAATGTCTTGTGCTTCGTGATTTTAAGTCTAATTACACATTATAATAGTACCAAATTATATAGTGATACTACCAACATTTGAATATATATCTTTATGGTAACAATTCCAATAAAATTTATTTATTTATTTATTTATTCATACTTCAACTGGTGCTGCCATGGTTGGAATACACCTGCCACATATATTTTTGCTGTATTTGGCTGTGACAGAAAGCTGCTGTATTTATAATATGTGCGTTACCCTCGGTAATTTGACAAAAACACTCTTTGGAATTATTTAAAAATTACGCTTAAAAATAAAAATAACTGTTTAAATAGGTGATTTTATATGTTGCAATAGCAAGTTATTAACGAAAATTTTAAAAAATTCATGTCATATTCATTGAAGTTTGGAACTATATTTCAAGGTCAGGTAAACAAAGATTGAACACCAAAACTGTTGAAGTATTGACTGATTTTCAATCAATGTTGCAGGATAAATAGAATACAGAGGTTTCCACCCTTGCAAAAATACAGCTTGTATCTTAAGACACTGACTATGTATTCTATCTCTGTATATATATATGGTAATAGTACATTTATATATATGTATCTCACGACATCAAACCAAGTAGGAAAATTGACTTTGTTTACAATGAACTTCCTTGATACAAGTCAATTTACTGTCTAATGCTTTGTTGGTAAAGAAAGGGTCAAACTTTTTGTGTGCCATCTCCAACTGTTCCCGTGCAGCACCCACCTTCGACTTATCTGTCTCACTACCCACAGGAGACTGATCTGTCTCACTACCCACGGGAGACTGATCTGTCTCCATACCCACAGGAACATTCAATGCTACACTAGGTTCATGTGTGTTCAATGTAAGAGAGAATTCTCCTTCCTGTGTGTTAGAGAGCAATGACATATAGTTGGCTAAATGGTGTGGCAGAACTGCTCCTAATACCTCCAAAATATGGACAGATTTTATCTGCTTGTTGTTGTCCATTTGCTTGACCAAGGAATGTTTTACCTGTATAAAAAAAAGAAAACATATCACCAACAAGCAAACCAGATTGAATATTGAAAATTTACCCTTGCCCTCCAATCCCTTGACCCAAAATATTTATCAATAAAACATTCAAAACTTGGCAATGACCTTTTACAAATGACCTTGAACCTAAGTCAAACAACTTTTGTTTTGATTTTAGTCAAATTTGTATCATGATGACACAGCAGGCAACTACTCTTTTAATTGTAGCCATTTTCATAATCCATCTAATAATATTTACCAATAACATAAATGCATGCTGTGAACAATCAATCTTACTTTATGTGATTTCAGAGTTGCACCCTTGAATGCTCTAGGGGCGAGAATCGTAGGAGGCAGGCCTGCCTGGACTCCTGAAGTAGCCACACAGCTGCGACAGTTGAGAAGGTAATTATAAAGGCCCTGCACATCCGAGCCTGTTACATACACTGTAGACTCTGGTCTGTTGTCAATTGCCTTGAATCCTTCTCTCTGCCTTTCACATAGTTAAAGAAATCAACTCTAACTTCTCCTTACCTACTCACATTTACCACTGACCCTAACTTCTCCTTACCTACTCACATTTACTACTGACCCTAATTTCTGCTTACCTACTCACATTTACTACTGACCCTAATTTCTACTTACCTACTCACATTTACCACTGACCCTAATTTCTGCTTACCTACTCACATATACCACTGACCCTAACTTCTGCTTACCTTCTCACATTTACTACTGACCCTAATTTCTGCTTACCTACTCACATTTACTACTGACCCTAACTTCACCTTACCTATTCACATTTACTACTGACCCTAACTTCTGCTTACCTACTCACATTTACCACTGACCCTAACTTCTGCTTACCTACTCACATTTACCACTGACCCTAATTTCTGCTTACCTACTCACATTTACCACTGACCCTAACTTCTGCTTACCTACTCACATTTACTACTGACCCTAATTTCTGCTTACCTACTCACATTTACCACTGACCCTAACTTCTGCTTACCTACTCACATTTACTACTGACCCTAACTTCTGCTTACCTACTCACATTTACTACTGACCCTAACTTCTAACTACTGCTTACCTACTCACATTTACTACTGACCCTAACTTCTGCTTACCTACTCACATTTACTACTGACCCTAACTTCTGCTTACCTACTCACATTTACTACTGACCCTAACTTCTGCTTACCTACTCACATTTACTACTGACACTTACTTCTCTTTACCTACTCACATTTACCACTGACCCTAACTTCTGCTTACCTACTCACATTTACTACTGACCCTAACTTCTGCTTACCTACTCACATTTACTACTGACCCTAACTTCTGCTTACCTACTCACATTTACTACTGACCCTAACTTCTGCTTACCTACTCACATTTACTACTGACCCTAACTTCTGCTTACCTACTCACATTTACTACTGACCCTAACTTCTGCTTACCTACTCACATTTACCACTGACCCTAACTTCTGCTTACCTACTCACATTTACTACTGACCCTAACTTCTGCTTACCTACTCACATTTACTACTGACCCTAACTTCTGCTTACCTACTCACATTTACTACTGACCCTAACTTCTGCTTACCTACTCACATTTACTACTGACCCTAACTTCTGCTTACCTACTCACATTTACTACTGACCCTAACTTCTGCTTACCTACTCACATTTACTACTGACCCTAATTTCTGCTTACCTACTCACATTTACCACTGACCCTAACTTCTGCTTACCTACTCACATTTACTACTGACCCTAACTTCTGCTTACCTACTCACATTTACTACTGACCCTAACTTCTGCTTACCTACTCACATTTACTACTGACCCTAACTTCTGCTTACCTACTCACATTTACCACTGACCCTAACTTCTGCTTACCTACTCACATTTACTACTGACCCTAACTTCTCCTTACCTACTCACATTTACTACTGACCTTAATTTCTGCTTACCTACTCACATTTACTACTGACCCTAACTTCTGCTTACCTACTCACATTTACTACTGACCCTAACTTCTGCTTACCTACTCACATTTACTACTGACACTTACTTCTCCTTACCTACTCACATTTACTACTGACCCTAACTTCTGCTTACCTACTCACATTTACCACTGACCCTAACTTCTGCTTACCTACTCACATTTACTACTGACACTTACTTCTCCTTACCTACTCACATTTACCACTGCTTACCTACTCACATTTACTACTGACACTTACTTCTCCTCACCTACTCACTTTTTCTTATCGATTGAATTCTATCCCTTCCATCCCAAGGAGCAAAGAAACAACACATTCCAGGACATTAACTACTTATTCCTTCTAAATGATAAAACTAGCATGTTTTTTAATATTATTTTAAGAAGATAAATTCGACCCCTGAGACCTTTGATAGAGTTCAAGGTTATTTTTCTATAAATAGAGTTTGGCAGGCATCTTTTCTTGAAACTATAAGACAAAAATGATGATTCTTAGGATTTTGCTTTACGAGAGGAAATTGAGTGAAATTCAACAAGTTCCTGTGACCTAGGTGGTTTAGTTTCCTTTAAAAAGTATCCTGAGTCAAAAAAGATATTGATATCAAATTATTATAAATAATCCAGAATCAACAAGGTCGAAAACTGTGCCAAAATCGGCCAGCCCAATACCCAAATATTGATGTGTAAAATGTATGATTTTCACCTGTCTTTCTAAAACTGATCAGCCTAAGAGTGGCTCACACTGAATGGGACCCTATCAGCTGTGATATCACATGTTCAACCACTAGTAGCAGCCACCATGGAAGGAAATGGTGAGATCAAGAATCGCTGTGCAACATCAGATTGCAAATGATTTTTTTTTTAAAGTTTTGAGGATTTAGATCATTCTGATGATAATATTATGTAAACAGTAAACAGACATATGAAATTTGTCAGAATTTTCATACAGTTATCAATTTAAACATAGAACAAGAGATGAAGCACAAATTATTACAACTTTACACTTTCTCACAAAATACAATGTACATTTACCTATTGAGAACAAAATTACTATCACAGAGAAATGCATCTGTTCACAATAATTATTGCTATTAAAATTAAAATCTGTTACTAGGCTGTAAAGGTGATAAGGTGTGCATTTCAGGTAAATCACAATAACTGGGTAGCTGCGGAATGGAATCAACACCACATCCACACTTTCTTGATCTTTCATTGTATGATATGAAGTAATTCATGGCTTAATAAAGGCTACACACTAAAAGACAAATTTGATGCAAGATGGTTATTGAAAAGACTGACGACAGATGCTGAGCCACAGCAATATAAAAATATTTCAAATAACATTGTGCAGTGTTAATCATCCACAACAGGTGTGATTTAAAAGGATACATTTTCACCTTGTTAGGTTCAAGAGAAGGAAACTGTTTTTTGTCCAGACCTATGCTCTCCAGCCACACTGATGCACCCTCATCTGTGTCAATCATGTGGTCGTCATCATCAAGATGCTGGTAGGATTGGCCACACTTCTTAGTCCTGGTGTAGGGAGAATAGTCTAGTGTTACAAATGTAGGTCTGTGGTAGGGAGAATAGTCTACTGTTACAAATGTAGGTCTGGTTGGGAGAATATTGTTCTGTTACAAATGTAGGTCTGTGGTAGGGAGAATAGTGTACTGTTACAAATGTAGGTCTGTGATAGGGAGAATAGTCTACTGTTACAAATGTAGGTCTGTGGTAGGGAGAATAGTCTACTGTTACAAATGTAGGTCTGGTTGGGAGAATATTGTTCTGTTACAAATGTAGGTCTGTGGTAGGGAGAATAGTGTACTGTTACAAATGTAGGTCTGTGGTAGGGAGAATAGTGTACTGTTACAAATGTAGGTCTGTGATAGGGAGAATAGTGTACTGTTACAAATGTAGGTCTGTGATAGGGAGAATAGTCTACTGTTACAAATGTAGGTCTGTGGTAGGGAGAATAGTCTACTGTTACAAATGTAGGTCTGTGGTAGGGAGAATAGTCTAGTGTTACAAATGTAGGTCTGTGGTTGGGGGAATAGTGTACTGTTACAAATGTAGGTCTGTGGTAGGGAGAATAGTCTACTGTTACAAATGTAGGTCTGTGGTAGGGAGAATAGTCTACTGTTACAAATGTAGGTCTGTGGTAGGGAGAATAGTCTACTGTTACAAATGTAGGTCTGGTTGGGAGAATATTGTTCTGTTACAAATGTAGGTCTGTGGTAGAGAGAATAGTGTACTGTTACAAATGTAGGTCTGTGGTAGGGAGAATTGTCTACTGTTACAAATGTAGGTCTGTGGTAGGGAGAATAGTGTACTGTTACAAATGTAGGTCTGTGATAGGGAGAATAGTCTACTGTTACAAATGTAGGTCTGTGGTAGGGAGAATAGTCTACTGTTATAAATGTAGGTCTGTGGTAGGGAGGTTAGTCTATTGTTACAAATGTAGGTCTGTGGTAGGGAGAATTGTCTACTGGTACATCTTGGTACAAACAACAGTAAATATTTACCATGCAATTTGTAAACCATGATTAGGTGTCAGCTATACAAACCATTAGACATCTTGGTACAAACAACATCTGAATACTTACTCTGATTCCAGCTGAATTTCTGTTTCTATCTCTGGATTCAAGCTGGCTTTAGTACGGTCCAGAAAGGGCATTTTAAATGATATATCTGTAGGTACAAGGTAAACAATATATCTGTAGGTACAATGGTAAACAATATATCTGTAGGTACGATGGTAAACAATATATCTGTAGGTACAATGGTAAACAATATATCTGTAGGTACAATGGTAAACAATATATCTGTAGGTACAAGGTAAACAATATGTCTGTAGGTACAAGGTAAACAATATGTCTGTAGGTACAAGGTAAACAATATATCTGTAGGTACAAGGTAAACAATATGTCTGTAGGTACAAGGTAAACAATATGTCTGTTGGTACAATGGTAAACAATATATCTGTAGGTACAAGGTAAACAATATGTCTGTAGGTACAAGGTAAACAATATGTCTGTAGGTACAAGGTAAACAATATGTCTGTAGGTACAAGGTAAACAATATGTCTGTAGGTACAATGGTAAACAATATTTCTGTAGGTACAATGGTAAACAATATATCTGTAGGTACAAGGTAAACAATATGTCTGTAGGTACGATGGTAAACAATATATCTGTAGGTACAAAAGTAAACAATAAATCTGTAGGTACAATGGTAAAGGTATTCCCTGTCCATCTGAGAGTATGTTACTACACTGACAGTAACCCCTGTCCATCTGAGAGTATGTTACTACACTGACTGTATTCCCTGTCCGTCTGAGAGTATGTTACTACACTGACTGTATTCCCTGTCTGTCTGAGAGTATGTTACTACACTGACTGTATTCCCTGTCTGTCTGAGAGTATGTTACTACACTGACAGTAACCCCTGTCTGTCTGAGAGTATGTTACTACACTGACTGTATTCCCTGTCTGTCTGAGAGTATGTTACTACACTGACTGTATTCCCTGTCTGTCTGAGAGTATGTTACTACACTGACTGTATTCCCTGTCTGTCTGAGAGTATGTTACTACACTGACTGTATTCCCTGTCTGTCTGAGAGTATGTTACTACACTGACTGTATTCCCTGTCTGTCTGAAAGTGTGTTACTACACTGACAGTATTCCCTGATTGTCTGAGAGTAAGTTACCTTCATTGGTGAGTGATTCTCTCATACCCCTTGTGGTAGGGGTGAGTACAGCACTAACATTTTTCTGCCCTGCCACAACTGATGCCCGGAACAACACAGAGAACTGATGAGTGCACACATAGAAGTAGGGACAGCACTGAGCACGTAATTGATGAAACACAGAGGTGAAGCTCTCCGTCCTGTTGAAAAAGAAAAAAGTCATTTTCAACATTTTATTTTTTCTGGTGATGCTTGACATTCGAAGATAATTAAAAGTTTCCCATCGACACTGGAATTAGGTATTGCAAGACCTAAATAAACTATTTTTTAGTTCCGATAACCTTAAATATATTTTCTACAATTTGTGCTCACCTATTTACTTGAGATTTCTAGGATATTCACCATTTCATGCTCTAGTTCCTAGGTACTGACCACTATTTACTTTTTTTTCTTGGGTACTCACTCCTCTTTGACACATTTTCTGAGATACTAGCCATTAACTTATTTCCTGAGTAATTCACCATTATTCTGCTATACTTCTAGAACATTCACTACTTTTTGAAATATTTCAATGACAGTATTCACCACTTTTTGCTTACTATATGAGGTAATCACTACTTTTTTGCTTTATGTCTCGGGTACTCTCCACTTTTTTGCTCTATGTCTTGGGTACTCTCCATTTTTTGCTTTATGTCTCAGATATTCTCCATTTTTTGCTTTATGTCTTGGTTACTCTCCACTTTTTGCTCTATGTCTCAGGTACTCTCCATTTTTTGCTTTATGTCTCGGGTACTCTCCACTTTTTGCTTTATGTATCGGGTACTCTCCACTTTTTGCTTTATGTCTCGGGTACTCTCCACTTTTTGCTTTATGTCTCGGGTACTCTCCACTTTTTGCTCTATGTCTCAGGTACTCTCCATTTTTTGCTTTATGTCTCGGGTACTCTCCACTTTTTGCTTTATGTCTCGGGTACTCTCCACTTTTTGCTTTATGTCTTGGGTACTCTCCACTTTTTGCTTTATGTATCGGGTACTCTCCACTTTTTGCTTTATGTCTCGGGTACTCTCCACTTTTTGCTTTATGTCTCGGGTACTCTCCACTTTTTGCTTTATTTTTCGGGTACTCTCCACTTTTTGCTTCATGTCTCGGGTACTCTCCACTTTTTGCTTCATGTCTCGGGTACTCTCCACTTTATTACTGGAGTATTCTGCACTTTTTGCTATATTTGGGTACTTGCCACAATGTGCTATAATTTTTGGGGTACTTCCCGCTGTGGGCAATATTTATTTGGGTACCTGCCGTTATGTTCTATATTTTTGGGGTACTTACCAATCTGACTGTAAGGCACTCTGCACCATGTTATCTTGACCTATACTTGCTGTTCTACATCAAAAGAGAATGAAATTGGCTATACTTCCATCATATTATTTGTGTCTGTGTATCACATTCTGAAATGTCTATTGTTATTTATATAGGGACTGAAAAGTGTTTTGATTGCTTTTTCTTGCAGTATGAATACAACAAAGAATCAAACAGAGGATGTGACATTGTGTGTTAGTTTTACTGAGCCTCTGAGGAGGTACAAAGTGTCATAAGTCTTAAATTGGAATCAAATATAAGATTGTGATAATTACATATCTTAATTCTTTTTTTTTTTCCTTTTTAAGTTGTTTAAACAATGTTGTTTGATAAGTCAAATAAATACAGTGGACCAGGTAACTATGGCAGCAGATGAAAACACAAGGCCCAGCAGTTTAAACAGTCATTGGACAATTAAAATCTACATGGTGCATTTTATATAACAGCAGTGAGAAGAATAGATGTTAAATGATTAAAAAAGGAATATTTTAACAGTAAAGGCAAAACCTGACTCCTCATTTCAGTCTCTTACCATTAACATAAAATTTCAGATGAATTTCACCAGTGGGATCGAGAAGTAGTAAAACATCACCTAAATACACACTATTCAAAAAAAAAAAAAAAAAAAACTGGATTCTAACTCCAGTACATCAATAAATCAAATCAGTCTACCTTAATTTAGAATCTGGGACAATTCGTGGGAAAAGCTTCATCCACGGAATGCTGGGATGAATCCAATATAAACCGGCTTCATGAAAATTGGCCTTTTTCTCTGTTTCCTGACAAATCAAACAATAATTTAATCAATATCTCAATGTATGTGAAGTATATCTAGTGTACATGTGAGGGATGGTGGTGTTGTACCTGTATATCTAGTGTGAGGGATGATGGTGTTGTACCTGTATATCTAGTGTACATGTGAGGGATGGTGGTGTTGTACCTGTATATCTAGTGTACATGTGAGGGATGATGGTGTTGTACCTGTATATCTAGTGTACATGTGAGGGATGATGGTGTTGTACCTGTATATCTAGTGTACATGTGAGGGATGGTGGTGTTGTACCTGTATATCTAGTGTACATGTGAGGGATGATGGTGTTGTACCTGTATATCTAGTGTACATGTGAGGGATGATGGTGTTGTACCTGTATATCTAGTGTACATGTGAGGGATGGTGGTGTTGTACCTGTACATCTAGTGTACATGTGAGGGATGGTGGTGTTGTACCTGTATATCTAGTGTACATGTGAGGGATGATGGTGTTGTACCTGTATATCTAGTGTACATGTGAGGGATGATGGTGTTGTACCTGTATATCTAGTGTACATGTGAGGGATGATGGTGTTGTACCTGTATATCTAGTGTACATGTGAGGGATGGTGGTGTTGTACCTGTATATCTAGTGTACATGTGAGGGATGATGGTGTTGTACCTGTATATCTAGTGTACATGTGAGGGATGGTGGTGTTGTACCTGTATATCTAGTGTACATGTGAGGGATGATGGTGTTGTACCTGTATATCCAGTGTACATGTGAGGGATGATGGTGTTGTACCTGTATATCTAGTGTACATGTGAGGGATGATGGTGTTGTACCTGTATATCTACAGTACATGTGAGGGATGGTGGTGTTGTACCTGTATATCTACAGTACATGTGAGGGATGGTGGTGTTGTACCTGTATATCTACAGTACATGTGAGGGATGATGGTGTTGTACCTGTACATCTAGTGTACATGTGAGGGATGATGGTGTTGTACCTGTACATCTAGTGTACATGTGAGGGATGATGGTGTTGTACCTGTACATCTAGTGTACATATGAGGGATGATGGTGTTGTACCTGTATATCTACAGTACATATGGGAGATGATGGTGTTGTACCTGTATATCTACAGTACATGTGAGGGATGATGGTGTTGTACTTGTATATCTAGTGTACATGTGAGGGATGATGGTGTTGTACCTGTATATCTACAGTACATGTGAGGGATGATGGTGTTGTACCTGTATATCTAGTGTGAGGGATGATGGTGTTGTACCTGTATATCTAGTGTACATGTGAGGGATGATGGTGTTGTACCTGTATATCCAGTGTACATGTGAGGGATGGTGGTGTTGTACCTGTATATCTAGTGTACATGTGAGGGATGATGGTGTTGTACCTGTATATCTAGTGTACATGTGAGGGATGATGGTGTTGTACCTATATATCTAGTGTACATGTGAGAGATGGTGGTGTTGTACCTGTATATCTAGTGTACATGTGAGGGATGATGGTGTTGTACCTGTATATCTAGTGTACATGTGAGGGATGATGGTGTTGTACCTGTATATCTAGTGTACATGTGAGGGATGATGGTGTTGTACCTGTATATCTAGTGTACATGTGAGGGATGATGGTGTTGTACCTATATATCTAGTGTGAGGGATGATGGTGTTGTACCTGTATGTCTAGGTTTCCTTTGAGGAACTGAGTGATCCCTCTAGCTTCATCAGTGGTCCGTAGCTGTGTACACCATAATAACGGTTTTTCAGAGATGATTCTTAGTTTGACCTTTAAACTCCAGTCTACTGGAATATCAAGAAGTCCATCACTTTCTTGCTTGTCTTCAGTCTTCAGTTCAAGTCTTTTCTGTAATAATGGAAAAATTACTAACTTTATCCCTTGAACACTATATTCTTTTCTACAAAATACAGATTTTGTATATTTTCTAATTACGGATCAATGAGTACAATTTTTCTGAGAGAATTACCTTGTATTTTCCCCAAAACATTACATCTATCTAACAGAGGGGCTAATACTGGTTGCCTAACACAATCAGTGATCCTAATTACACTGATTGGCTAACACCACCAGTGATCCTAATTACACTGATTGGCTAACACCACAGCAGTGATCCTGATTACACTGATTGGCCAACACCACAGCAGTGATCCTAATTACACTGATTGGCCAACCACCAGTGATCCTAATTACACTGATAGGCTAACACCACCAGTGATCCTAATTACACTGATTGGCTAACACCACCATTGATCCTAATTACACTGATTGGCCAACACTACACCAGTGATCCTGATTACACTGATAGGCTAACACCACACCAGTGATCCTGATTACACTGATTGGCCAACACCACCAGTGATCCTGATTACACTAATTGGCCAATACCACACCAGTGATCCTAATTACACTGATTGGCCGACACCACTAGTGATCCTGATTACACTGATTGGCCAACACCACACCAGTGATCCTGATAACACTGATTGGCTAACACCACCATTGATCCTAATTACACTGATTGGCCAACACTACACCAGTGATCCTGATTACACTGATAGGCTAACACCACACCAGTGATCCTGATTACACTGATTGGCCAACACCACCAGTGATCCTGATTACACTAATTGGCCAATACCACACCAGTGATCCTAATTACACTGATTGGCCGACACCACTAGTGATCCTGATTACACTGATTGGCCAACACCACACCAGTGATCCTGATAACACTGATTGGCTAACACCACCATTGATCCTAATTACACTGATTGGCCAACACTACACCAGTGATCCTGATTACACTGATTGGCTAATACCACAGCAGTGATCCTAATTACACTGATTTGCCAACACCACCAGTGATCCTGATTACACTAATTGGCCAATACCACACCAGTGATCCTAATTACACTGATTGGCTAACACCACCATTGATCCTAATTACACTGATTGGCCAACACTACACCAGTGATCCTGATTACACTGATTGGCTAATACCACAGCAGTGATCCTAATTACACTGATTTGCCAACACCACCAGTGATCCTGATTACACTAATTGGCCAATACCACACCAGTGATCCTAATTACATTGATTGGCCAACACCACCAGTGATCCTAATTACACTGATTGGCCAACACCAGTGATTCTAATCATCCTAATTACACTGGCTAACACCACCAGTGATCTACACCAGTGATCCTGATTACACTGATTGGCTAATACCACACCAGTGATCCTAATTACACTAATTGGCTTACACCACTAGTGATCCTAATTACACTAATTGGCTTACACTCTGGGTGCTATGTCAGTGTCCACACAACCTCAAATAAAAGTTCTATAAAGAATCAATCTAGAGTAAGAGAGTATCTGTGAATACTTTATATAAACTTTACACCATATATTTTATTCTTTAATTGTTTCAGTAAAATTACTGTAAAATACCTTTGTTAGTTGTTCCTTTTGTTTGTTGTTGAAAAATTTTTCAAGAAAATCAAACTGTGACTTGCTGTCCTCATCCTCTAAAGCATAATTTTCAGTGTGTCTAGGGATAGGCTTAGACTCCTTAGTCTGTATGGAACAATGGCTTTCTTCACTTTCTTGTACCTGAAATCAAAGTTTTTGACTTAGTTATTGAAAGAAAAACAAGGTGCCTGATGGGCCTTAATCACTTACCTGTTCTGCAGTTCCAAAAGGAAAACCCTTTGAAGAATTTAGGTTTGAAACAGGTATAAGCTTGAAGATAGATAGAACAGATCTTGAGCTGAGAAAAGGATTTCATACAAAAATATATCAAATAACTCCATGGGTTAGAGCCAACGCCGTATTTTTAGATGTGGGTAGGTTGTTCCTGATATCCCTTGCTTGGATACCACCTGTTATGCAGGGCGATTGAGGAATAGGGACAAACAAAGCAAGTATCAAATGCAACAAGCGCAGGATAAGTTGGTAGTGAGTTTAATTCGTCTGGTCGACCGGTTTCGCCCGAGCTATGTGGGCTTCATCAGGACAGCGAATGTAAGAAAATTACCCCTGAAGTACTAAAAATGTGGGCACGGTTATATTGTGACGTAATAATAAGAGTCACGTGCGCTATCATATATAGTGTCCATAACGGTTATAGTTAGCACAGTTCATTATAGATAGTGGTGTCTAGGAAGTTAACCTTGTTATCGCCGATATCCAAGGTAAACTTAATCATTGGGTGAAAAGAGTTCATGGCTTCACTAAAGGAGGTAAGTTCCTCTCTTGAATGTGTCCATATGAAGAAAATGTCATCTATATATCTCCACCAGACAAGTGGTGTTTTAACTTGTGTAGATAGGAACTTATTTTCTAATACTTTGAAATGTGGTATTACCGAAGCTGGTAGTGATCTTTTCTCTGTGGGTGCCTCCCCCCTCTTCCTTTTAAGTTCTTGATTACAGTTTATTTCTTTTTGTGGTTCTTGTGGGAATTGGAACCTGAATTCTTCAGTTTCATGATCGGTCATGTTCGATATATGGAAATGGTCCGGATTTGGACTTGGTTGCTCCTTCCGCTGATCTACTAGAGATGCAGGGGCTCTAAAGTAAACAATTTACAATAACTCCATGGGTTAGAGCCAACGCTGTATTTTTAGATGTGGGTAGGTTGTTCCTGATATCCCTTGCTTGGATACCACCCGGTATGCAGGGCGATTGAGGAATAGGGACAAACAAAGCAAGTATCAACCGCAACAAGCGCAGGATAAGTTGGTAGTGAGTTTAATTCGTCTGGTCGACTGGTTTCGCCCAAGCTATTTTTCTTCATATGGACACATTCAAGAGAGGAACTTACCTCCTTTAGTGAAGCCATGAACTCTTTTCACCCAATGATTAAGTTTACCTTGGATATCGGCGATAACAAGGTTAACTTCCTAGACACCACTATCTATAATGAACTGTGCTAACTATAACCGTTATGGACACTATATATGATATTGCACGTGACTCTTATTATTACGTCACAATATAACCGTGCCCACATTTTCAGTACTTCAGGGGTAATTTTCTTACATTCGCTGTCCTGATGAAGCCCACATAGCTCGGGCGAAACTGGTCGACCAGACGAATTAAACTCACCACCAACTTATCCTGCGCTTGTTGTGGTTGATACTTGCTTTGTTAAAATATATCAAAATTACAATCTTACCAAATTACAAAAAAAATACCCCCATTTCTCTCACACAACCCAAAAATTCTCCATCCTATCATACATATTTAATCTTTATTCAATTACTCGAGCATTTTATATCTGGCAGTAAAACCTTTCAATGCTAGGATGATTTGCTAGTGGCTACGAAGTTTAATCATCTACTAGTCTAAGGATTTTACATCAAATGCAGGGTTTTCCATAATTTTGCTAGTAGTGGGCTGTGTAGTGAAAGTAGGAGGCTGGCCTGCCGTGTACGTGTAGTCGTGTACGGAACATTATTATGGAACTGGATTGGTGTAGGCGGCCAAATGATCAAAGTAGCCGGTCAAATTGGCCGGTGATCGGCTCTTATGGAAAACCCAGCATACCTCTACTGTCATTTGACTGAACAAACATAATGTAATAAATAAGATGGACTTATGGACTTTTGAAGTCTTTCAAACCTTTATTATTTTTTTTTTTTTAATTTTTGGGGGGAGAGGGGGGTGGCTGTAGGGGGCACACCGATTTTTCATTTAGATAAATGTCTAGTATTACGGGAGTAATAATTTCCTATCCAGCATCCGGATACGCCAACTCAACTTTGATGTTGATATCTTACCTTCAAAAGTGGCCGTTAAACTCGAAAAAATGAGCATTTGCGAATATCGATACAAAATAAATTTAAAATGTTTGTTGTTTTATATAGGGAACAACTTGGGCGTGTCTCCCGTAAAACCAACACACTCTTTACTTTTCCTAGGAATTACACTTAATCAGGGACGTAGATAACAGTTATTTACGTCCCTGACATAATTTAATACCAGATACATGTTCGACTGATGAATTGTACTGTACCTTTCCAATTCCTCCAAACATTTTGAAAAATGTATTCTCTTTCAAATTTTCTGGATTGTGTGACATTTCTATCGGATCAGACTTTTTCCGTTTGGATGGAGAGTTGGTCTGACTTTCCAGTGATGCTGAGAAAGGATTTTTCCTTTTTGCATGCAAAGATACATTTTTTGTTATGCAGGTTTCAGTCACTTTATCCGGTGGTTTTTCAGAGGCCTTTTGAAGCGAAATCCGTTTCTTCTTCCGATGCTTCTTCATTATATCCGACGGTTTCTTCCACGTTGGTGAACTGTTTAAGTCTTCCATTGTGCAAATGCCAATGTACGAGAGCACCGTACAGATATGTTTATGTACTCGTCTTTCCCGCTATATTGTCAAACACTTTACAGACGCCGACAAAGTCGAAAAAAATGTTCGATGGATCCGAATCCGGACCGGAATCTGAGACAAGAAGATCATAAAACTTACATATGACCAACCCCAAATTAAAATATACTTGCCAACCCTTCCTAATTAGAAGGGAGACTTCCGATTTTGAATCCATATTACAGGGGACTAAATATTTGTATTATACAGCCGTGTAATATCTATAATATACAGATATATAATTGCTATATTCATGATTCAATCATGTTATATATATTATATATAGATATATAATTTCTATATTCATAATACAGACATGTCATATTTGTATTATATAGACATGTAATATTTGTATTATACTGAGGTGTAATATTTGAATTATATAGAGGTGTAATATTTGTATTATATAGTAATATATGTAATATATATGTAATATATGTATTATATAGATATGTAATATTTGTATTATACAGAGGTGTAATATTTGTATCATACAGACATGTAATATTTGTATTATACAGACATGCAATATTTGTATTATACAGAGGTGTAATATTTGTATCATACAGACATGTAATATTTGTATTATACAGACATGCAATATTTGTATTATACAGACATGCAATATTTGTATTATACAGATATGTAATATTTGTATTATATAGACATGTAATATTTGTATGATAGAGACATGTAATATTTGTATTATACAGGCATGTAATATTTGTATAATATAGATATGTAATATTTGTATTATACACAGGTGTAATATTTGTATTATACAGACATGTAATATTTGTATGATAGAGACATGTAATATTTGTATTATACAGGCATGTAATATTTGTATAATATAGATATGTAATATTTGTATTATACACAGGTGTAATATTTGTATTATACAGACATGTAATATTTGTATGATAGAGACATGTAATATTTGTATTATACAGGCATGTAATATTTGTATAATATAGATATGTAATATTTGTATTATACACAGGTGTAATATTTGTATTATACAGACATGTAATATTTGTATTATACAGATATGTATACAACATCTGTGTCTATTTGTATTATACAGATACGTATACAACATCTGTGTCTATTTGTATTAGACAGACATGTAATAATTGTATTATACAGAGGTGTAATATTTGTATTATTAGAAAAGGGCCAAGTGAGCTTATGCCATAGCGCGGCATCCGTCATCCATCCGTCTGGCGTCTGTCTGTTGTCCGGCGTCTGTCAACTATTCATTTAAACAACTTCTTCTGAAATACCGAAAGGCGTAGAGTTATCATATTTGGCTGGAAGGTTCCTTTGATGAAGCCAAACAAAGTTTGCAAAAAGAAATGACCTTGACCCATATTCAAGGTCACAGAGGTCAAATGTGTTAAAACCTTTAAACAACTTCTCTCAAAATACCAGAAAGCCTAGAATCATTATATTTAGTTGGAAGGTTCCTTTGATGAAGCCCAACAAAGTTTACAAAAAGAAATGACCTTAACCCATATTCAAGGTCACAGAGGTCAAATGTGTTTAAACCTTTAAACAACTTCTTCCAAAATACTGGAAGGCCTAGAATCATTATATTTGGCCAGTATGTTCCTTTTATGAAGTCTAAGAAAGTAAAAGAAATGACCTTGACCCATAGTCAAGGTCACAAGGGGTCAAATGTGTTAAACGCGGAACATATGCACAGATATAGTAATGTTGGTCATAAAGATCCAGGTGAGTGATACAGGCCCTCTGGGCCTTTTGTATAGATATGTAATATTTGTATTATACTGAGGTGTAATATTTGTATTATACAGAGGTGTAATATTTGTATTATACAGACATGTAATATTTATATTATATAGAGGTGTAACATTTGTAGTATACAGACATGTAATATTTGTAATATACAGACATGCAATATTTGTATTATATAGACATGTAATATTTGTATTATATAGACATGTAATATTTGTATTATACAGACATGTAATATTTGTATTATATAGACATGTAATATTTGTATTATACAGACATGTAATATTTGTATAATATAGATATGTAATATTTGTATTATACAGACATGTAATATTTGTAAATCATAGGCTGTAGTTAGCTAAAGCATTTGATCAAGTTTAAATGACTTTAATGAAAAGCTAAGAGTTATGTCACTTAAAAAAATTCTACGATTAAAATATTAAAACAAAATATGTTATGCATATTAGATCAGATAATCAAACCATTTGTCCAAATATTAAGTATACGATGTTGCAAAACTATGAACACATGCAGAAGATTAGTTATATGTTATGCCTGTTATCTTATGGTATGTGGCTTGGCAAACACTAAAAAAAAATATAAAAATGTTCAAACTGAGCTTTGATCGTTTGGTTTCATGTGTACCGTTAACACACGTGACATACATGTGTGCATACGGCGGTCGATATGCTCAGTGGAGTGTTATTTTAGGCTCCTGTCTTTAGCAAAGGGACAGTGATCACGGTCAACATGTCAATAGATTTCTCAGTGGTAGTTATATGTTTTAAACCTTTACAGCAGAAGTAAAACACCAGCACATATGTTTACGAATATTTATGACGTAATGCTATGTCGTCGTCCATTCAGGTGCGAAATGAAAACGAGGCAGTATACACACACAGCTTGAACGGAAGCGAAGTGAGGTAAGGGTATGTATGACAGCTCAATTATAGACTCTGTGTTCAGGTAGATGAAACAAACAAGTATTGAAATATGCCGAGTCTCAAAGCGACCGCATTACGCACCTTCATAGTGAGTAAACTCGAGACTTGACAATTCTACCTGAAACTGAGATCATTAATTGATGATAACATGGCGTCAAGTTCAGTGAGTCAGGAGAGCTTAGATACGGAAGATTTTGCAATCAGTATCCGTAAAAGTAAGATACGCAACATGCGCGCTCGAGGGTTGAATCCACTACCCCGGAGTACGGATCGAGAGAGAGAGGAGGATTCCTGCGACATTCCGTGTGACCAGGATACACCAGGATGGGGTGTCATCCCGGAGCACGAGTCTCCATCCCGGTGCATAGCTACAAGCCGGACGAAGGATAAGCGTACTCGACCAAATCACCTGCACAAAGGCAAACTGCCAAAGGACAAAAGGAAACTGAGGGAAAAAAGAAGGAGCACTGGAGTAGGCCTTGGAGGTCTCGCACACCTTCCATCAACCGAGGTAACCACCAAGTCGTAATCTTGATGTAAAGTAGGCAATAAATCATTCTATTGAGATAACACGATGATGGTGTGATGTGATCAGATGATGGTGATCTGATGGTGTGATGTGATCAGATGATGGTGTGATGTGATCAGATGATGGTGATCTGATGGTGTGATGTGATCAGATGATGGTGATCTGATGGTGTGATGTGATCAGATGATGGTGTGATGTGATCAGATGAAGATCGATGTGTTGTGTGGGTAGTGATAGGCTGATGGTGTGATGTGATCAGATGTTGATCGATATGATCAGATGATGGTGTGATGTGATCAGATGTTGATCGATATGATCAGATGATGGTGTGATGTGATCAGATGATGATCGATGTGATCAGATGATGGTGATCTGATGGTGTGATGTGATCAGATGATGATCGATGTGATCAGATGATGATCGATGTGATCAGATGATGGTGATCTGATGGTGTGATGTGATCAGATGAAGATCGATGTGTTGTGTGGGTAGTGATAGGCTGATGGTGTGATGTGATCAGATGATGGTGATCTGATGGTGTGATGTGATCAGATGAAGATCGATGTGTTGTGTGGGTAGTGATAGGCTGATGGTGTGATGTGATCAGATGTTGATCGATATGATCAGATGATGGTGTGATGTGATCAGATGTTGATCGATATGATCAGATGATGGTGTGATGTGATCAGATGATGATCGATGTGATCAGATGATGGTGATCTGATGGTGTGATGTGATCAGATGATGGTGATCTGATGGTGTGATGTGATCAGATGATGATCAATGTGATCAGATGATGGTGTGATGTGATCAGATGATGGTGATCTGATGGTGTGATGTGATCAGATGATGGTGTGATGTGATCAGATGATGATCAATGTGTTGAGTGGGTAGTGATAGCGTGATGGGTGTGATGTGATCAGATGATGATCAATGTGATCAGATGATGGTGTGATGTGATCAGATGTTGATCGATATGATCAGATGATGGTGTGATGTGATCAGATGATGATGTGATCTATTCAGATGATGATCGATGTGTTCATTATGTTTAATCTACTGTCTGATGTTTTACCTACTGTCTGGTATTTTATCTACTATCTGATGTTTTAACTACTGTCTGGTATTTAATCTACTGTCTGATGTTTTACCTACTGTCTGGTATTTAATCTAATGTCTGATGTTTTACCTACTGTCTGGTATTTAGTCTGTCTGATGTTTTACCTACTGTCTGGTATTTAATCTACTGTTTGATGTTTTACCTACTGTCTGGTATTTAATCTACTGTCTGATGTTTTACCTATTGTCTGGTATTTAGTCTGTCTGATGTTTTATCTACTGTCTGGTATTTTATCTACTATCTGATGTTTTAACTACTGTCTGGTATTTAATCTACTGTCTGATGTTTTACCTACTGTGTGGTATTTAGTCTGTCTGATGTTTTACCTACTGTCTGGTATTTAGTCTGTCTGATGTTTTACCTACTGTCTGGTATTTAATCTACTGTCTGATGTTTTACCTACTGTCTGGTATTTAATCTACTGTCTGATGTTTTACCTACTGTCTGGTATTTAGTCTGTCTGATGTTTTACCTACTGTCTGGTATTTAATCTACTGTTTGATGTTTTACCTACTGTCTGGTATTTAATCTAATGTCTGATGTTTTACCTATTGTCTGGTATTTAATCTACTGTCTGATGTTTTACCTACTGTCCGGTATTGAATCTTCTGTCTGATGTTTTACCAACTGTCTGATGTTTTACCTACTGTCTGGTATTGAATCTACTATCTGATGTTTTACCTACTGTCTGGTATTTAATCTACTGTCTGGTGTTTTACCTACTGTCTGGTATTTAATCTACTGTCTGATGTTTTACCAACTGTCTGATGTTTTACCAACTGTCTGATGTTTTACCTACTGTCTGGTATTTAATCTACTATGTGATGTTTTACCTACTGTCTGGTATTTAATCTACTGTTTGATGTTTTACCTACTGTCTGGTATTTAATCTACTGTTTGATGTTTTACCTACTGTCTGGTATTTAATCTAATGTCTGATGTTTTACCTATTGTCTGGTATTTAATCTACTGTCTGATGTTTTACCTACTGTCTGGTATTGAATCTACTATCTGATGTTTTACCTACTGTCTGGTATTTAATCTACTGTCTGGTGTTTTACCTACTGTCTGGTATTTAATCTACTGTCTGATGTTTTACCAACTGTCTGATGTTTTACCTACTGTCTGGTATTTAATCTACTATGTGATGTTTTACCTACTGTCTGGTATTTAATCTACTATCTGATGTTTTACTGACTGTCTGGTATTTAATCTGTCTGATGTTTTACCTACTGTTTGATATTTAATCTACTGTCTGGTGTTTTACCTACTGTCTGGTATTTAATCTTCTGTCTGATGTTTTACCTACTGTTTGATATTTAATCTACTATCTGATGTTTTACTGACTGTCTGGTATTTAATCTGTCTGATGTTTTACCTACTGTTTGATATTTAATCTACTGTTTGATGTTTTACCTACTGTCTGGTATTTAATCTTCTGTCTGATGTTTTACCTACTGTCTGGTATTTAATCTACCATCTGCTGTTTTACCTACTGTCTGTTTTACATGTTGTCTGGTGTTTTACCTGTCTGATGTTAAAGCTGTTAACTTGAGGTTTTATCTATTGTATATGGTGTTGTTTTTAATAGAGCACTGGTGACTCTTTGGATGAGGATGATGAGGATCCTAAAGGTTCCACAGAGACCAAACGAAACACATCCTACAATGAAATCATTGACGAGGACAACCCTCAGACACCCTCAGATGTAAGAACATTAAGTGTTGTTTTGTTTGTTAACTACGTGGTTGTAATATCCTTTGGTGTTACCAATTAATGAAAATATATGGGTACGCACCTTTCTTATCATCCAGATCACTTTGACCCGTTGTCAGTTATCTTTTTAGCTCACTGTCAGCTGTTCTGTCACTTTTTTTCTGTGGTCAGTCATTAAACAATCCTTGTGATTGTTACTTCTTAAAAATTTCTTACAAAGTACCAAAGGAATTGGTTCCCTGTGGTCACTAGTACATTGGTAGTACTAAATGAATAAGTTCCCTGTGGTCACTAGTACAGTGGTAGTACTAAATGAATAGGTTCCCTGTGGTCACTAGTACAGTGGTAGTACTAAATTAATAGGTTCCCTGTGGTCACTAGTACAGTGGTAGTACTAAATAAATAGGTTCCTTGTGGTCACTAGTACAGTGGTAGTTCTAAATTAATAGGTTACCTGTGGTCACTAGTACAGTGGTAGTTCTAAATTAATAGGTTCCCAGTGGTCACTAGTACAGTGGTAGTACTAAATGAATAAGTTCCCTGTGGTCACTAGTACAGTGGTAGTACTAAATGAATAAGTTCCCTGTGGTCACTAGTACAGTGGTAGTACTAAATGAATAGGTTCCTTGTGGTCACTAGTACAGTGGTAGTTCTAAATTAATAGGTTACCTGTGGTCACTAGTACAGTGGTAGTTCTAAATTAATAGGTTCCCAGTGGTCACTAGTACAGTGGTAGTACTAAATGAATAAGTTCCCTGTGGTCACTAGTACAGTGGTAGTACTAAATGAATAAGTTCCCTGTGGTCACTAGTACAGTGGTAGTACTAAATGAATAAGTTCCCTGTGGTCACTAGTACAGTGGTAGTACTAAATGAATAAGTTCCCTGTGGTCACTAGTACAGTGGTAGTACTAAATGAATAGGTTCCCTGTGGTCACTAGTACAGTGGTAGTACTAAATTAATAGGTTCCCTGTGGTCACTAGTACAGTGGTAGTACTAAATAAATAGGTTCCCAGTGGTCCCTAGTACAGTGGTAGTACTAAATTTATAGATTCCCAGTGGTCACAAGTACACTGGTAGTACTAAATTTATAGATTCCCAGTGATCACTAGTACAGCGGTTTTACTAAATTGATAGATTCCCTGTGGTCACTAGTACAGTGATGTTACTCCATTTGTTGAGACGGATCAGAAAAACAAAAATAGCCCATAGGTGACCATCTTACATTTTTGAAATTTTGTTATTGTTTTGATGAATTTATTGAAAAATACTGGGTGGATCTTTTGTGAAATTTCATCATGCAGGTTCCCCTTGGTACCTCCGGTGAAATAACCATATTTAGAGTATCTTAATCCCTAATCAGTTCACCTAGAACCAATTACCTAAACTTTTGGAAGAGGTTTCTGTCAGGGCCTTCATTCAAGCTAGCATTCATCGTTCACATGAGTCTAAATAGGATGTTTTTAATTTGAATGTGATGTTTCGGTACTCTTGATTTATTGGGACAAGATATTGGTTACAGACTTCTCAGTTACATCTAATGTTTTTTTTTTTTCAGGATCGCCATATCCCCAAAGGTTTTATTTCCAGGAGAACTAAGAGGTAAGTCATCCCACTTAGGCTCAAATATATGTTTATACAGAACTATTCAGACGAGTATCCATTTACTTATCTGATCAATGTTAAGATGTGAATTCTTCTTCCTTCTTAAACTCTTCACTGATATATCTTCTCAGACAGCTTAATGTAACTGTTGTAATATTTTTAAGTCAGTAGATGGAACAAGTAGTAATACCTCAGATGTAATCAAACAGAATTAGTGCTGTAGCCTAAAGTTGGCACTATATTTACAAATTAACTTTCTGTTTATTGAGGTTATCAGGGGAAGCAAGTTATGTAAAAAAAAAAATTCCCAGTCAATTGTGTTCTCAGAACCTGAACCAAATAGAAAGTTATTCCTTGTATCTACAGAGGGATACAGTTATGGTTTTATTGATTTCAAAGTTTAAAGATACAACAGTAACAAAAATATTCAGTTTGCCGACATAAAAAATACCACCATGAGAGGGTCTATTGTGTCAGTCTATCAAATACCACAGCAGCAAAATTTTTAAAAATATTTTGCATATATTCACTTGTTAAATACAAGATTCTAGCATTTATTCTATTGAAATTTCAAAAGAAAACCTCAAAAGTTTGACAAAAAATTGGCATAAGGACCATATTTTAAGTGTATTTCCTTTCTGGAAGACCTTTCAAAACTTGTGAAGTTCAAGCTCAGTCTGATACAGTGACATTATGTGAAAGTCTTTCATTCGTGATGTCATATCACTGTGAATGTGAGAGAGACTATTACTATTGATGTAAAGTGATAATGAGAATTTTTCATTGCTATTAGCGACAATTCCAATATGATATTAACAAAGTTTCAAGGCAGTTGATGTGAAAATGTTTCAGCTCACTTTGAGTATTTAAAAATGTTAGTACTGTATTGAATACTTGGTGATATAAGTCATTTAGGCCCATCGGACCTCTTGTTTTTAAAACTTTCTCATTGATGCTTTTGTTTTATTTGATTGTCTTTCAGTCCATCTGATCTTGAAGCTGACTTGGAAGACAACCAAGATTATGACAGTACCGTCAGTCAATCAGAGACCAACTTGACTTTAATTGGAAAACCAGATTCCAAAGAATCAAACTATAAACACATTCCGAAATATGGTCCTGGAAGTAATGTAGACATTCCATCCACAAAAGTGTCTCATATCAAACCTTACAGCTCTCCAAACATCTGTGATACCAAGCCTCTCTCATCCTCATCAAGCTCTCTTCAGGGCAGTCATCATAGTAGGTATGGATATTCTACTAACGCAGCTGAGTGGCAGGAAGCAGAAGAGAATAGCGTAGTGAAAAAGGATTTACCCGTGATAAAGCCTTTGACATCTGTAGTGAACAGATACAAGGAAAGTAAATCAGACAGTGACAATAATGGTTACAGTGGTTTCCGTCACCATGACAACGTTCAGAGATCAGGGGTCAGCCACAAACTCTTCTTAAATCGGTCCAAAGCAAACGAAAGCCTGGAGCAGGTGAGTAACTGTGTCCAAGGGAGACGTAAAACTGGAGCAGGTGAGTAACTGTGTCCAAGGGAGACAAAGCCTGGAGCAGGTGAGTAACTGTGTCCAAGGGAGACAAAAACTGGAGCAGGTGAGTAACTGTGTCCAAGGGAGACAAAAACTGGAGCAGGTGAGTTACTGTGTCCAAGGGAGACAAAAACTGGAGCAGGTGAGTAACTGTGTCCAAGGGAGACAAAAACTGGAGCAGGTGAGTAACTGTGTCCAAGGGAGACAAAAACTGGAGGAGGTGAGTTACTCTGTCCAAGGGAGACAAAGCCTGGAGCAGCTGAGTAACTGTGTCCAAGGGAGACAAACTGGAGTAGGTGAGTAACTGTGTCCAAGGGAGACAAACTGTAGCAGGTGAGTTACTGTGTCCAAGGGAGACAAACTGGAGTAGGTGACCAAATTGATTTCTGCCTATATATATCAACTGTTTAGTGATAATGACCAGGAAATATTGTTATCTCTGGGAACTTTGCAAAAGCATTCTCTCAATTCTTGTGATTTGTTTTTCTTTTTTAAACCTCAGTTTGACTGTTATTTACCTAATCTGAAGACTGGTACACAATAATGAAATTATTACAGGGGGTTATCTGATACACTATACTGAAATTAGGACAGGGGGTTATCTGATACACTATACTGAAATTAGGACAGGGGGTTATCTGATACACTATACTGAAATTATTACAGGGGGTTATCTGATACACCATACTGAAATTATTACAGGGGGTTATCTGATACACCATACTGAAATTAGGACAGGGGATCATCTGATACACTATACTGAAATTAGGACAGGGGATCATCTGATACACTATACTGAAATTAGGACAGGGGGTTATCTGATACACTATACTGAAATTACGACAGGGGGTTATCTGATACACTATACTGAAATTAGGACAGGGGGTTATCTGATACACTATACTGAAATTACGACAGGGGGTTATCTGATACACCATACTGAAATTACGACAGGGGGTTATCTGATACACCATACTGAAATTACAACAGGGGGTTATCTGATACACTATTCTGAAATTACGACAGGGGGTTATCTGATACACTATACTGAAATTAGGACAGGGGGTTATCTGATACACTATTCTGAAATTAGGACAGGGAGTTATAATTATTTTCTGATACTTTAAGATGATTTCTTTTACAGTTATTGGAAAAAGAAAAAGAAGAAAACAGGAAACTGAAGGCAATGTTAGAATCAAAAGATAAGAAAATTGCAGAGCTGGAAAAGGAAGTTTCTTCTTTAAACAAGGTAGCTAGGTCACTTAATTAAGTCTTCCAAACAGTTACCATTAAATCATCTGGGATCTGAAACATCCTGCTTCATCTCTGTACACGAATAAAAATAAAAAATACCACCTTTTTAGTAAAGATTTTGGAAAAGACCTACTGGTCTGTTTAATTACATGTGTTTTATTTGACTGTTCAGATACATGTATGTCCATCCACCCCCTTCACATACATGTGTATGACTACCTGTCCCCTTCACATACATGTGTACGACTACCTGTCCCCTTCACATACACGTGTATGACTATCTGTCCCCATTACATACACGTGTATGACTACCTGTCCTCTTCACTGACATGTGTATGTCTACCTGTCCTCTTCACTGACATGTGTATGTCTACCTGTCCTCTTCACTGACATGTGTATGTCTACCTGTCCTCTTCACTGACATGTGTATGACTACCTGTCCTCTTCACTGACATGTGTATGTCTGCCTGTCCTCTTCACTGACATGTGTATGTCTACCTGTCCCCTTCACTGACATGTGTAAGTCTACCTGTCCCCTTCACATACACGTGTATGTCTACCTGTCCTCTTCACTGACATGTGTATGTCTACCTGTCCTCTTCACTGACATGTGTATGTCTACCTGTCCTCTTCACTGACATGTGTATATCTACCTGTTCTCTTCACTGACATGTGTATATCTACCTGTTCTCTTCACTGACATGTCTATGTCTACCTGTCCTCTTCACTGACATGTGTATGTCTACCTGTCCTCTTCACTGACATGTGTATGTCTACCTGTCCTCTTCACTGACATGTGTATGTCTGCCTGTCCTCTTCACTGACATGTGTATGTCTCCTCTTCACTGACATGTGTATGTCTACCTGTCCTCTTCACTGACATGTGTATGTCTACCTGTCCTCTTCACTGACATGTGTATGACTACCTGCCCCCTTCACATACATGTGTACGACTACCTGTCCCCTTCACATACACGTGTATGACTATCTGTCCCCATTACATACAAGTGTATGACTACCTGTCCTCTTCACTGACATGTGTATGTCTACCTGTCCTCTTCACTGACATGTGTATGTCTACCTGTCCTCTTCACTGACATGTGTATGTCTACCTGTCCTCTTCACTGACATGTGTATGTCTGCCTGTCCTCTTCACTGACATGTGTATGTCTACCTGTCCTCTTCACTGACATGTGTATGTCTACCTGTCCTCTTCACTGACATGTGTATGTCTACCTGTCCTCTTCACTGACGTGTATGTCTAACTGTCCTCTTCTCTGACATGTGTATGAATGTGTTTGTCTAATTGACAGTTTCCTGTGTGTTGAATATGTTTGTCTAATTGACAGTTTCCTGTGTGTTGAATGTGTCTGTCTAATTGACAGTTTCCTGTGTGTTGAATGTGTTTTTATAATCGACAGTTTACTGTGTGTTGAATGTGTTTGTATAATTGACAGTTTCCTGTGTGTTGAATGTGTTTGTCTAATTGACAGTTTCCTGTGTGTTGAATGTGTTTGTCTAATTGACAGTTTCCTGTGTGTTGAATGTGTTTGTCTAACTGACAGTTTCCTGTGTGTTGAATATGTTTGTCTAATTGACAGTTTCCTGTGTGTTGAATATGTTTGTCTAATTGACAGTTTCCTGTGTGTTGAATGTGTTTGTCTAATTTACAGTTTCCTGTGTGTTGAATATGTTTGTCTAATTGACAGTTTCCTGTGGTTTGAAGGTGTTTGTATAATTGAGTTTCCTGTGTGTTGAATGTGTTTGTCTAATTGACAGTTTCCTGTGTGTTGAATATGTTTGTCTAATTGACAGTTTCCTGTGGTTTGAAGGTGTTTGTATAATTGAGTTTCCTGTGTGTTGAATGTGTTTGTCTAATTGACAGTTTCCTGTGTGTTGAATGTGTTTGTATAATTGACAGTTTCCTGTGTGTTGAATGTGTTTGTCTAATTGACAGTTTCCTGTGTGTTGAATGTGTTTGTCTAATTGACAGTTTCCTGCATGTTGAATGTGTTTGTCTAATTTAGTTTCCTATGTGTTGAATGTGTTTGTCTAATTGACAGTTTCCTGTGTGTTGAATGTGTTTGTCTAATTGACAGTTTCCTATATGTCTAACTGTCCTCTTCTCTGACATGTGTATGAATGTGTTTGTCTAATTGACAGTTTCCTGTGTGTTGAATATGTTTGTCTAATTGACAGTTTCCTGCGTGTTGAATGTGTTTGTCTAATTTAGTTTCCTGTGTGTTGAATGTGTTTGTCTAATTGACAGTTTCCTGTGTGTTTAATGTGTTTGTCTAATTGACAGTGTCCTATGTGTTGAATGTATTTGTCTAATTGACAGTTTCCTGTGTGTTTAATGTGTTTGTCTAATTGACAGTTTCCCAGGTCTTATATATGCTACTTGGAAGGTTTCTTCTTGGGAAATATACATTATAAATGTATGTAACTGTTAAATACTTTATTGCTTAATTATTAGAGTAATTCATTGTATGTCCAACTGAAGATCACATAAGAATGTAAAATTGTGGACATGAATACATAGCACCTGAGTTTTGAAGTGTACTGTTCCTATAAATGTAAATTGGAGATCATACTGAGGGTCCAGTATCTGCTGAAATGATTAATTACCATAGTAAAACAATTATTTCTCTGTTGTTTTATTATTATTGGCCAGGTTGTACATAGTGCAAATCCAGGTTATAGTATGGTGAAATTGGATGGGCGGGCGGGTGTGGAAAAAGGGTACCAGTTTTGTAGAATCAACTCCTCCTAGAGTTTTTGACATAAAAGCTTGAAACTTTGTAGAATGTTTATATATATACATATATGTTGAAGATGTGCACCTCCTATCATGGATTCATTTCGGACAGTTTTCTGGATTTTCTGGGCTTTGGAACTTAGTTTTTTTCCGCAGTTTGGCAGGAAAAGGGGCATCAGTTTTGTAGAATCAACTCCTCCTAGAGTTTTTGACGTAGAAGCTTGAAACTTTGTAGAATGTTTATATATATATATGTTGAAGATGTGCACCTCCTATTATGGATTCATTCTGGACATTTCTCAGGATTTTCCAGGCTTAGGAACTTAGTCATTTTCCTCATATAAATCACCTTGGGGCCCTAGATGTCCATTGTCTATTTTTTGAACATCTAAGAATCAAAAATGACTTCTTTTTTCAAATGCCCTTCGTCTGCACCAATTAATAAAATACAACCAAACTTTCTCTCTTATAACAAATATTCTACATACTCAACAAATGAAACACCCTTAACTATCTTATAGATACCATATAACATTGCACTCATCGCGCAACCTGGCCAATTGCGGCTTTGTCCCTTTGCATATATATTGCATATTACCTTATTGACAATACTACTTTGTGTCTACTGAAATACACACGAAAATTTAAATTAATAATTGTAAAAGGAAACTCTCACCATTGATCAAATTTCTTTATATATAAAACACAACCTGCCACATCAGTAAGAAAGGCTTCCCACGTGAATCGGTTACAGTTGAAGAAAATATTTGAGTGCCAGCCACAAATCAAAGGACAGACAGATTTGCAGAAGAAAAAATTAGAATTTCACTGGAGCTTACCATGGTAGATGGGAACTTATCAGACAAGTGTTTTACAGAAACTATTAATGTTAACAAACTCGGGTATCAAAATATGGGTGTTAATGTACTGCATCTCTACATTTTGTTCATGTATACAAATGATCTGCCTTGTTTTCAAAACTGTCACGTGATGCTATCCGCTTTGAATTTGTGAGAAATTTCCCAAATGAGTGGTCAAACTCAAAATTTGAAATTGATTGAGAATATCGGGTTAGCAAAGAAACATAAGTGGAAGTGTGTAAAAAATGCACGATCAAAAAGATCAAAGAATAACATTTTTACAGTGATGTCCCTCTAAATCAACATTGCTTGTCAACACTGATATGTAAAATAAAAATACTGTTCAAAACATTATTTTCAGTATGTTTAATATGAGCTGTCAGGGGAAAAGTTGAGTACTAGTATTCTATACTTGCATTGCTTTGTTTATTTTCAGGATCTTGAGGACTTTGATGATGAAAACCAGAAATTGGTATTGGAAAACAACTCTCTGATCCGTGCAGTGTCTAACCTCAGCATTACTAGTACAGCTGTGTAGGACATACAAGGAAACAGATGTGTTGGATACACACCAGTTCACCTGAATAGGACAGCTGTGTAGGACAGACACTAGTCCATTTTAGAGCAGACACCAGTTCACCTATGTAGGACAGACACATGTACAGCTGTGTAGGACAATGATATATTTGTATAGGACAGACACTTCTAATGCTGTAGAGGACAAACACTATTACAGCTGTGTAGGACAGGCATTAAGACAACTGTTTAGGACAGACATTATAACAACTGTGTAGGACAAAAAAGTGGACAGCTGTGTTGGTCAGACACCAGTTCACCTGCATAGGACAGACACTTGTACAGCTGTGTAGGACAGACACTTTTACAGCTGTGTAGGACAGTAGACACTGATAAAATTGTATATTAGGACACCTGTGCAGGACTGACACTAGTGCAGTGTGTAGGACAAACACTAGAACTACTGTGTAGGACAGACAATGATACATTTGTGAAGGGCTGGCACTACTGCAGCTATGTAGGACAGATGAGTAGGCTATGCACAAGGACCTTTGTGATGGACAGAGCCATATAGGACAGACATTTGTGTAGGACAGACACTACTGTAACTGTAGAGGACAGACACTATCGCAGATGTGTAACACCGACAGCCAGACATTTGTGAGGAGCTGACACTACCATTAGCTGTGTAGGACAGACAGTAGAACATGTACAACTATCAGACAGACTTTAGGACAACTGAGACTCTAGGACAGATATTTAGGACACATCCTTTCATCTCTGAGTGAAGGTGCATCATAATCAGTAGGCCAAGGTCACAAGATTGCTTCGCTTTCCATACATGGTCAAGGAAATCATTTGGCAGAAGTTTTTTGTCTTGATAAAGTGCTTTTTCAGCGGTTTCCTTTGAATACTTATTTATTGTGACAGATCTGCAATACCTGCGTAATTAATTGAATGTTCTATCAGTGCTAATGCTGTTATATCACAACTTGTTCAACAATGTATATTGTATAATTATTTACCCTTGACTAGTAAATGTAAACATTGTGTATGTATTGTTTCACCATTAATAAACAGAAAGCCTATAGTTTTGTTTAAATAAAAAACTGCATTTAAAAATGATACTTGAATAAGTCCTTGATTTTAGAGAGAAAGATTTGTTCATTTGCTTTGGAAGTTATCACTTATGAAACACTTTTGAACTATAGGAACTAATTGGCAGAAATTATGAAACAATTAATAATTATAGGAATTAATCAGCATAAATTACCAGATAGCTCGAAAGTATAGAAACTAATAGAAAGTAAACCAATTATTCAAATTTTTAAAATAAATTACATGATCAACTTCTACCTGTGCAGTAAGAACATCTTTAGTAACCAATTTAGAATCGATCATCTAGCATGCGACCGTCTTGTGTCAATGTCGTATAAGCATCTGCAAGCATTGAAGGATTTTGACAATTTGTTGTCACTATTACTTGACAAATACTGCATGGATCTCTCTCAAATTCCCATGTAGATGCTCCTTGGTTCTCATCTGTGCCCTTTTGATCTTGATACTGATCAAAAAACAGAAAATGGCTGATGAGAGGTAGACATGATGAATTTAAACAGTGAAACTTTACCACTTTTTCTTGACAGTATAAAAAATTTTGGATAAATCTCTTGCAAATTCCTTTTGTATGTTCATCTTGGTTGCTAGTTGTGCCTGTTTTATTTAGGACTGTGCATGATCAGGTGGCCATTTTGGATTTTAACAACGAAAGTTGCTATCACTTTTTCTTTAGAAATACAGCATGGATCTAGTGCCTCAAATTTCATATGCAGATTCATCTTGGTCGCTAGTTGTGCCCTTTCATTTTGGGGTTATTAGAAAAAATGAAAGTGGCAGTACAGCAACAATTTTGGATTTGACAGTTAAAGATTATTGTTAATCTCTCGGAGGTATTTCAAAACTTTGGTATGATGATGTAACGAACAATCCAGATTTGATGTTCTACATCCCAGATAAATCATGATGTAACGATCCAGCCTGGAGGTCCTTCATCTAAGATAAAGCCCTGATGTATTGATCCAGTCTGGAGGTCCTACATCTAAGATAAAGCCCTGATGTGATGATCCAGTCTGGAGGTCCTACATCTAAGATAAAGCCCTGATGTGATGATCCAGTCTGGAGGTCCTACATCTAAGATAAAGCCCTGATGTAATGATTCAGTCTGGAGGTCCTACATCTAAGATAAAGCCCTGATGTGATGATCCAGTCTGGAGGTCCTACATCTTCGATAAAGCCCTGTATTGATCCAGTCTGGAGGTCCTACATCTAAGATAAAGCCCTGATGTGATGATCCAGTCTGGAGGTCCTACATCTAAGATAAAGCCCTGATGTGATGATCCAGTCTGGAGGTCCTACATCTAAGATAAAGCCCTGATGTATTGATCCAGTCTGGAGGTCCTACATCTAAGATCAAACCCTGATGTATTGATTCAGTCTGGAGGTCCTACATCTAAGATAAAGCCCTGATGTAATGATCCAGTCTGGAGGTCCTACATCTAAGATAAAGCCCTGATGTATTGATCCAGTCTGGAGGTCCTACATCTAAGATAAAGCCCTGATGTATTGATCCAGTCTGGAGGTCCTATATCTAAGATAAAGCCCTGTATTGATCCAGTCTGGAGGTCCTACATCTTAGATAAAGCCCTGTATTGATCCAGTCTGGAGGTCCTACATCTTAGATAAAGCCCTGTATTGATCCAGTCTGGAGGTCCTACATCTTAGATAAAGCCCTGATGTAATGATCCAGTCTGGAGGTCATACATCTAAGATAAAGCCCTGATGTGATGATCCAGTCTGGAGGTCCTACATCTTAGATAAAGCCCTTGTGTAATGATCCAGTCTGGAGGTCCTACATCTAAGATCAAACCCTGATGTATTGATCAAGTCTTGAGGTCCTATATCTAAGATAAAGCCCTGATGTAATGATCCAGTCTGGAGGTCCTACATCTAAGATAAAACCCTGATGTATTGATCCAGTCTGGAGGTCCTACATCTAAGATAAAGCCCTGATTTATTGATTCAGTTTGAAGGTCCTACATCTAAGATAAAGCCCTGTATTGATCCAGTCTGGAGGTCCTACATCTTAGATAAAGCCCTGTATTGATCCAGTCTGGAGGTCCTTCATTTTACAGAAGATAGATAATTAAAACTATCACTGAAATAAATCATTACATTTGTATTACAACAAGAACAGAACTTTCAACTTCTACAAGCTGGTATCTATCTACAAAATACACAAACACTGGGATAACACAAATGTTGATCGGATATAACCATGTTACTATCAGTACTGTGTGTCATTAACACTCTAAGTGATTTAACCATGTTAACATCAGTACTGTGTGTCATATACACTCAAAACTATTTAACCATGTTATCATCAGTATGGTGTGTCATTAACTCTCAGGTGGCCATCTTGGATTTTGGAAGTAAAAGTTTGTTACCGCTATTTCTGAGAGAGTACTTGATGAATCTTTCTCAAATTTCATATGCAGATTCCCTTTGGTTCCAAGTTGTGCATTATACCTTTTCGGACTGATCCGAAATCAAGATGGCTGCCTGTCAGCCATCTTGGATTTTGAGAGTAAAATCTTGTTACTGCTCTATATCTGAGGAAGTACTGGATGGATCCTTCTGATATTTCATAGATATTGTTTTCCCTTGGTCCCTAGTTGTGCATTGTACCTTTTTTTGGACTGATTTAAAATCAAGGTGGCCCACAGGCAGCCATCTTGGATGTCGACAGTAACACAGCACAAGCATATTGTCCATTATCCACCTGTAACTGACTGCTATCTAACAATACTTTAGGATCTTTCTCAAATGATATTTGCTAATAGGTGCTTAATAGAAATATCTTGTGCCATCATTTAGTACATTCAATGAAGACCAGTTCATGAACATTTACGACACCTGTAACAAACATAAAAAAATAAACAAATCTTCAAGAACTGAAAACAGATCCTCAAATGGTGGGCGCCAAGATCCCTCTGGGATCTGTTATTGGTGGGTGCCGTCTCTATAAATGACTACCTTGAACATGCTGGAATAATCTAATGCTGGCCAGTCCCATCATCAGGTAGATCCTCTTCCTTCAGATGTTTCGGTGCTTTCCATGATGACCTCCAGAGGTGCAGCGGCTAGGTTGAACAGGCCCAACCAGAGACTGGTTGGCTCTCGCCACTGCATGTTGGTGCTACAGTCTGATGCCCAAGATGGTTGTGCTGCCATGTGTATTTGTCGTTTGTCAGTGCTGCCTGGCATTATGTAAGCAAATGAGCTAAATTAACTTCTCGGTTACAGTGCACATGCCGTGCTGTCCTTAATTCCCCCAGAAGGACTCTGCAGAACACCATATCTTGACTTCAAGAGGAAACTAAGCCTGCACACAATTCCATGTTCCAGGTGTTGCCACAGCTAGGATACTCTCTGCTGTTCCCATCCAGTGAGTCCAGCTCCCTTGCCATCTCATACCAGCTGCCCTCACTTGTCTGTTCATCCATCATTCTAATCTCTGTCTGAGCCATGTCCCTGTGTTCCCGCTGGTTAGAATTACCCCAATCGTGGTCTTGGAATAGCTCCCAAGCCATGCTGGAGTATGGCCTGTGCTATGTCTAATGCCTGCTTGGAGTTCCATTTCCTTCCTGTCCTTGTCTCTACCCTTGCTCTTCAGAACTATCCCTCAGAATGATGACCTGTCACAGCTTGGTTACCTTGAATTTGGCTCCTGAGCTGTACAAACTTACACTTCTGAAGCTCCAGGGTACGCTCAACCATAACACCACAGATATCTGCTGATCATTGTGTCCGTTGCCTCTACAACAATGGTGATTAGTACTTTGTAGACCAGCAAAGGCCACAAGAGCCATGGAGGAACACTATGCTGGCATGTGCAGGCTTTAAATTTAAAACAATGTAATAATTTGCGGGGGAATGTAGATTACGCAGAGACAGTGATCATTGCCCCTGGAGTATCTAGGCGTGTTATGTTGGGATGACAAAACAACGAAATGGCAGAAAACGGCCACCAAGCCAAACCATGAGTCAGCGTCATGACTTGTATCCGTATTAGTATACGGGGCACAGACATAATTTTCAACCTACTTAAAACCAAATTTAACCGATTCACACACAGAATAGTTACACACACTCTCTGAAAAATCAAACCTAACACAGTTTTTCTATACTTCTATGGTAGTTAAGTAATCATGAGAATTTTAGCTACTATTAGGTTGTTATATGGTGTTTAAAATACTGAACCATTCATGTTATTAAGAATGAGTATAAAAAGGAAAGATGTGTCGCTTCTTGAGTGTGACTACTTGTTAACACGTTTTCTGTGATAGATTTTTCACATCCAAAGACATCTTGATAATACCACAGACTTTAAATACAGATATAAATAATGCAAGTCTGTGATCAGCTGACTAGTAGACTTTCTCCCGGATGTACATGTATACATCCATGGCTTTCCATTTAACATGTTATCAATTGCTAACATATGCATACGTACTTGATTAAATATGTGTGTGATAACAACTAAAAATATGATAAATAATGTGACAGTACCAGGTGAATGCTGAAGTTGAATTCTGCGCCAAACTTCCAAAACACTTTCGACGTCACAGGAAAGATAAAAAGTTTGCAGCCGGCCATGGGCCGTAAAGTTACCAAGCTGTGGACAACAGCAAAATAGACCAGTTTTCAAAAAACGAAAAATAATAATAGGGAAACAGGCTGTAAATTTAAATCAATAAATAATTTTAAATGTATGTACACAAATGCAGACCAATTAAAAAAAGAAAATGTCAGAACTAAGTATTAGAGTAAATGATACAAACCCAGATGTCATTGACATCACTCAAGTTAAAGCAAAGGGTACAGAACACTAAAGCATCAGAATACAATATTGAAGGTAATGGAAATTATAAAATATTTAGCAAAAATGTTGAAAATGCAGGGGGGTATGCTGTTAATGATAAATGCCCGGAGATCAAGGAAGTAAACATTACTACATCATTC